AAATGTGGTAAGGTGTGCTCCGAAATTTCTGTTGATACTGCTTAGGTGGAAACTTGCTCAGAGGGCAGAGAGATTCAGTTTCCAGACTTCTGCATTTGACTCCTGTAATGAGTACAGGGATAGGTATAAAAAGGATAGACACTAAAAAGAGAACACGATTTGAAAATTACGGATTAAAGTTATTTTATTAATAGAAAACAAATGAAAACATGGAAGATTTTTATAGAATGTAGAGTGACTGCTATGGCCTTCTACTTCCCTTCTGCTTACATTCAGGTTTTCTAAAATGTAACTGCTACGGAAATCGCCATGATCTACTGCTCCCAGCTTCTTCCCTTCTTGAGACCATTCACTAGCTGTATAGGTAGCTTGCAAAAACGTGGTTGACTAGGGGGCCTTCAGCCAGGCTGAAGGCAAGCGGAGGGTAACTGGCCCAGTGGTTGCATTCATCTTGTCATGCTTTCAAACAGATAGGAATGGTCAGTGTTCCTGTTTGAAAAATGTGCATGTGCTTCCCTTCAGTAGAGAGGCCATGCAGATAGAGTGTTTAGGGAAAGGATAAAAATGCAGCAGGAGCTTTCTGCTGTTCCGAAATTCAGGCACAGCTTCAGATTGTCTATCAAAAATTGGCCTGTATGCAGGGAGTTAACATACTCCGTGCAAAAACTGCCAGCCTTTACTGGGCTGTATCTTTACCAAGTCTCTGTTTTCACGCTTTTGAATTTCTCTTTTTATTTGCATTTATCAACCAATATTCTCTTTTCACAGTCATTTGCTTCTTTTCCAGTCTCTTCTTCCTTAAAATAGTCTTTTTTCTTCTTTGGAACCTCTTCCTTTAACTCTTCCTAGATTTCATTTGTCCTGCTTTGTACTGTCTGTGCTGCATTTCTTGCTCGTTTACAAAGTCCTACCCATTACTGAGTCAAAACGTACTAAGCATTTTACACATAAGCTTCAGGTTTTGCCCCAAAACGTTTGTGAACTGCAGAGGAAAACAATATCCAAATACAGGGCTGAGGAACAGAGAAGTAAATCAAATTAATAGCAGCATTGCAAAACAGATATATGACACAATATAGCATACAGTGAGCATCATAAAATTGCAGGGGAAGGTGTAGTAAGTGGATTAACTTTTAAAGGGAGCTGAAAAAAAAATAGAGGAGATATTTAGAGTGACAGTAGGAAAAGAAACTTTCTTGTAAGAAAAACAGCTGGAAGCAAAATACAGAGAGAAATTGGGTGATAGGGACCGTTTGTCTATAGTAAGTAATAAAATAGCATAGCAGAGCCAACTTCTTCAATGACATAAACCTTTAGTATCGGCCCTGTGAAGATAATAGCATGCATGTTAGTGTAGAATCTGACCCCACCCCCCAAACATATGTTTTGCTTTAATTAGCATAATTTAGCTGTCCTATTTTCATCTCACCAGTAGAGAGACATAGCATATTTTGTGCGTTTAAGGCACTGAAGTATGGATTCAGTCAGTATGGATTCAATCAAAGAACCATTCAGCTAAACAAAGTTATCAGAGCTTTACTTTTCTTGTGTTTTTGGTTTGGTGCAACATACAGTCTTTCCAATTTGCAGATAGTTCAGTTTTGTTTCATTTGTGAATGAAACTTCACAATTACTAATTTATAGTGGTGAATTTTAAGATACTGTAATTCACTCTTCCTCCTTCCCTCCCTTTTTCTTGAGTAAGTGTTCTCTGGCTATTTGAACCATGGGGTTTTTTGATAATGTTTTGGTAAGGGCTGTTAAGGGGGGTTTTTTTTGTTTGTTTATGTATGCACACCCCTCTGGGATTAAATAATCTAGGCATAAAACACGTTCCTTTGTTTAAACTAGCTACCTTCCTTTCCATGTTGAATGTCCATTCAAGCCTATTATCAGCTATTAAGAACTTTTCAGCAGAAAATAAACGTCAATGTAAAAGAGTATTTCTTGTGCTTCAGTGATTTAAACTTTGTGGGAATAGCAGAGTGCAGGAAAATCATCATAGTTTCAGAAATGCAAGGCAATTTTTTTTTTCAAAGGCTATGATCATTTTGGCTACTCCCCATGATAACCTCTTGGGGCCCAATTCAGCATTGTTAGGAAACAGACTTTGGATTGAAAAAAGTTAATGCCTATGGTTGGCCCTTGTTTCCAAAAACATAGTACTTCGGGCATAGTCAGGTGACTGTCCTGTTCTATATTGTTCTATTTGCCTTAATCTTTCGCACTTGTTTTTGAATTCAGTCATCTCAATTTGAACAGCCATTGCATGCATCATGATTTGGTTTTCTTTAACTTTTCTTTGTACATGAACTGAGTACAAGAAATACTCAGCCCATTAAAGACTGAAAAGTGATGCTCTACTTATTTTCCTGTATTTTTATTTTATAAGCACTTTATGTTGTTATATGTTCTTTGAAGCTCTGCTCTGCTGTGTAATGTTTGCAAAATGCCTTGCATGAAGAGGTTATGGTGTCAGTTCAGACGGTTAAGAAATAGCTGAAACATAAAAAAAAAAAAAAATTGATTATTTTCACAGCAGTGTTGAATTCTGTGGTAACAAAGCTTCATGCCTAAGTTGACATGGAATATGTATTTTATTCTGTGCCATGTTTCCATCTTGGGTAGGTGGAGTGGTGGTAACAAGTCTTAGCAGATATGTGTTTCAGACATGGAGGCAAATGAGAAGTAAAAGCAGAAATGTAGAGGATTGTCTAAGTAAAAATATCTTACCAAATAACTGTAAAAGGTGTCTTCCTGAAGCGGCAGAAAAATCATCATTTTCATTATGTGCCTTTGGGTATTTTAAAATGACCTTTTGTCTGAAGGTATTATATAGAATAACACGATTCGGGCTTTTTCTGTAGAGTCATGGATGGCCCACTGAAGTGTTTGGAATAGAAAGGTTTTTTTTCGCCCCCATAATAACTATGTTTGTATGTAAGAGAACTTTTTTGTCAGTATGTCTAATTTTGCTTTTTACTACAGGATTGTAAACACGTATATGTAAACCCATACACGTGTTCACAATTCTTTTTAGGTTTTAATTTTTTTAAATTCAGAAAATCATTATTTTTTCCCCACCCACCTGTTTGTGGAAATAAGTACGAGTTACAGGTATTTTTCTTTCATCCCATGCTTCCAATATTTATAAGAGATCCTGGATGTGGGTCATCTTGGTCAGGCTAGTTTATGCTTTGTGCATTCGTTGGATACAGAAACAGTAGTGAGAGCAAGTACCCACACCAAGACTGCCCGCTCAGAGCTAAGTTATTTATGCAGCACTTACACAGGCAAGGTCTTTCTTCTGCAACACGTTTGCTCAATGCCACGCATTTCACAGGATAGCAAATGCTCTGTCTTGATAGAAGAGAGATGGGTTTGAATTTCCTTAGGCTGAGGGCTATATGTAGTCCAAGTCTCATTTCTGGGATGAGTGTTTTAATCACTGGACTATTACATACAAAGAAAGCAGAATTTTGAGAGTGAGAGCTCTAATGTCTGTATCTGTTAAGTTTATTCATAGCATATATACAAAACAGGCCTGGGGATGGTCCAGACTATATTTTGCAGCCCAGTTATTTTTGTAGAGAAGATTAGACACCTATGTACTCAAGGTCAGTTACTTTCAGAAGCAGAGCTGACAGTGCCTAGGAAACTCTCAGGTAAAGGCAAGATGCAAGTCATGAATTTAGCCACTGCCATGATCACGAAGGTGTTGAGCAAGACTTTTGTGAACCATCCTTGGGCTATCTGAGGGCTACCTGAGCTCCATTTGCAGTACGAGTATAAAAGAGGACAGAAGCTATACTGCCGTTTTCTTCATATCACATGAGTCCCTTTTCCAAACTGTGTAGTTCCAGGAGCCCTTCCACTTCCTCCAAGAAGGCAAAAATGAGCTGTCCCTCTGAAGCTGTTATGAAAACAACTGGCCAAAATCAAATGTATACAAACTACGCAGCTATACAGCATCTCCTTCTCAGATTACCGGAACAGATCTCTGCTTTCAAGTGGTGTGCACATATATTTGTTATAAATGCATCTGCATTTGTTATAGGGATGGTACAGTCTGCCGATTTCTCTTGCTGAAAAGGTTATTAAAATCTGTAGACGTTCTACAAATAATATATAATATGCATGTAATATAAAGACACTACAAATTATTAGTATGTCTAAACTGTTTTCCTACAGATGTAGCAATTGGGGCTCCACAGGAAGATGATCTAAAAGGAGTTATTTATATATACAATGGCAGGGAAGATGGAATAACTCCATCATTTTCACAGGTAGGCCTTTTCTATTATAAAAAAAAATCAATCCAGAAAAACCTTAAGTTTAAGTTTGAGACTGTTTTCTGTAATTTAACCTTCAGAACAGCTGGATTACTTTAAAACAGTTGAATTTCAGAATATTTTTACATAGCCTATGATTTCTAGTCATAATTTAACTTGTACTAAAAAAACGTTTTGGAGGCCTCAGACAGGATTTATGGGGTATAACATTTGTGTCAATGGAGGAATATTACTTTCAGAGGTATACATTCACAGACAAGTTTCTGCCTTCAGGGGCAGGACAATTGCCCTTTTTTCATTGGATATTGTAACTCAAAGATTAGCTTTCCCAGATTAATTTTCTTTTTTTTTTCCCCTCTCCTTCAGAGAATACAAGGGCACCATGTCAGTAATGCTTTGAGCATGTTTGGACAATCCATAGCAAGTGGCATTGATGCAGATAACAATGGTTATCAAGGTGAACGATTTTGTTTATTTTTGTTTATATGACAGTAGAAATGAATAGGGAACAACTCAACCATGCTACTTGTTACTCCTTCCAAGAACAAAATCTGTTATTAAGATGACATGTCACATCTTGCGTTTTGGGAAGAAAAAAAATGATGGGGTAAAGCTGAGGGCAAGCAGTCACTTTTTTACGGTCATCTAACTATTACTGAAGGGCTCAGAAAGATGTGATAGTGTATAGTGCAGAGGAGGAGGAAAAACCTGATTTTTGGTTTTATGGCAACCACTTTATCTGCTAATGTCATAGTGAGCTAGACTGGTCACCAGAGGTATGTTTACTGTTCAGGTTAGTGGGCTAACCTGAAAATCTTACACATTTTTATGTCATCTGGATCTTGTCACATATCGTTTAGCTCAATGACTCAGACTGTACATCAACAATAAATTAATCTGGCTTCAAGTTAAGAATGTTGTGGAATTCTTGTGGATGTGACACAAGTGCTAATTTGGTGTAAAACAACTTGGCTGGTTTCAAATATATCTTCATTGTTTCATACATATTGTCAAAATATTTTGACATGGTACAGATAGGTGTTGTGTCAGATCAGGGACGTCTGTCCTGCCACTATGGGTATAAAAGCATAAAGTTACCATAAACTGCGTTTCATGTGCTCTGACTATTTCAACAGAAACATGAATTTGTAATGCTGGGTGAACAGGTAGTCTGTGCTTTCAGGTCATCTGCTGTTTCTGTTTAGGGAGCTGTGCTCTCAGACCCTTACAACATTTAGACTCACCTGAAAAGTTAGATAGATAGCAGAAGTAAATATTTGAGTTGCAGAGGAAGCAAGGACCTCCTATTTAGCTGAATTGTACTTCCTTGTCAGCCACTTAAACTCAGCACAGAAATCAAATCATCACATTACCAATATCTGCAAGTCCAGAAAAATTAGTATGCAGCTTTAAGGGACAGGGAGCAAGTATTTGAGGAATCAGTTTCTATTCAGATAAGTTCATCTTTGAATATTAACATATCCCTTCTAATAAATTATGGGCAAAACATTTTAATGCTGTCCAAAAATGAGTGTGCTACAAAATGCTTTTACCTGAGAAGTAATTCTGTTGAGTAAGGATGCTTACCTATCCTTTTTTTTTTTTTTTAAATGTATGTGTGTATGTGTACAGATGTAGCAGTTGGTGCATTTCTCTCCAATTCTGCTGTGCTGCTGAGGTGAGGTTGATGCATTTCAGTGCTTAAAGATCATTCAATTTAGTTGTAAATTTTTAGATGTAATTAAAAAAAATTAGTAATATGTTTTGGCTTCATACTGCCCTTCATGGTGTTTTGAACTTCAGTCATTAAGTTCTGGAACGCTCTATGAACTAGTATGTTTAACTAAACATCTTGGAGAGAAAGAAAATAGTATTCTTAAACTTCGTGAGGCAATAAAAAATTCACACACAGCTATTTGGATTCTTAAAAATGCATAATTTAAGAGGATAGCTTTAAAATGATCATTTTAAAATATAACAAATAGATTCTGTAGAGATGGCGTAAGCTGATTCTGAAGCATTTTCTGAACATTAATTTTTTTTGTGTTCTTAGAACAAAACCAGTGATAATTGTTGAAGCTTCTTTAAAACACCCTGATTCAATAAATCGAACTAATTTAAACTGCATGGAAAATGACCAGCCGGCTGTCTGTATGAATTTAAAGATATGCTTTACATATACAGGACGAGAGGTACCTGGCTATATTGGTAAGCTGCTTGGAAAAAAAAAATCCAGTTAGTGTATTCATTTGAATAAGAAATGCACCTATTTGCAGAATAATAATATTGGTATTTAATAATCCACTAATCTGAGCTCAGTATAAAATGAAAAATTAAAAGCTTGGGGCAAGGTCAGCCCCATAAGTAACCAAAGCAGGTTTTCTTTAAACAAATTCTGGTGGAAAAATATAAATATATGCTAGAAGAAGTTGCATTTAAAGCATGCAGCTGGGATCAATCACTATGCAATCAATTTTCAGAGGGCTAGCAGCTTTCATTAGGGATGAATTTGTCTCAGAGAATTTATAAGTGGAGCATTTTGGGGTTGATATTATGGAACATTCTCAAGGGAATTTGAGTCAGAAGATGTACTGTCTATCACAAATTCATGAAAATTATTATGCCTAAAAAGTTTTTATAATTGTTATTTTCCCTGTTTTTAATTTTGCAGTTTTGTTTTATAATGTGAGTGTGGATGTGAACAGAAAAGTGGATACACAAGCAAGATTTTATTTTTCTTCCGATGGAACATCTGATACAACCTCTGGAAATATAAAGATTTATAGCAAGAGCATTGCCTGCAAAGATCATCCAGCATTTATGAGGGTAATGTAATCTTCAATGTGTATTGTACTGTAAATCCTTTGCTGTCCTTTCAAATGGCATCTGCTGCAAAATAACTTGTATTTTATTTTCAACTCCGTTACATAATTTCAAAGTACAGTATTTCTGTTGACATCTTTCACAATTAATACCTTTTAGTTCTGATGCTTTTTCAGCTTTTATGGAAAAGTCAATGGGCCTGTCATCTCTTATGTTAACAAGAAAGTGCATAATAATTACCACAGTGATGAAGGACATAAGCATTTCTGGCCTTTTTTTTTTTTTTTTAACCCTATTTTATAGAAAGCAGATCATAGATTGAGGCCAGTTTTGTATCAACCAAGAAGGTGTATAGCATATGTTTTCTGCTGAACAGTTCTGACAGAACTTTATTATCTACCTTGTTCCTTAATGCAAATCCTTTAAACTAATAGTTACACATAGAAAGTTTATTATGTATATAATTTTTAACCATTTCAAAGAACAAATCTAAGGTCTTGGCTCCCCCTTCTCACTGTGAGTGAAAGGGGTAAACTCACCTGATGGGAAAGGAGCCCATTCCTGATCCACAGAAGGTGAAATGAATTGGTTGCTAGAAGTGAGTCTGCAGTTTGAGGTTTATAGTGTGGTCAGTTTTGTGAATTTGTTGCAAGGAGCCAAAGGTCTGCTAGCTGGGCATGAACAAGGATACCTGTTTGGAATTCTTCAGTTTCTCCCTGCAAGGGAGGCAGCACTCATCTAGGGAAATACTTGGTTAGAGAATCGGGTGTGGAAAGGGGAGGAAGAGCACCCTGTGGGAGTTTCATGAATGAATTTAGAGCTAAACAGTTCTGATAAAGAATGTGCACTGTGCCAACAAGTGATGTCTACTCTACTCCCCTGTTATGAAAGTGAAGGCTCCGCAGATACATATCCTTCTGCTGGATATCTGAACCTGAATCCTGGACTGCATTTGTAGTGAACGTGGTTACAGTTCTCTATTTGTGAAGGTGAGGATGTAGAGAAGTCCTTTGTTGCAGAAGGAACCTGCTGGTAGAATTTCTTGGGAAGAGAAGCTGCAGAGATAGAAGTGCTGCAAGAGGAAATGTGCAGCCACCTAGGGAGGCCTGTACCAACACTGGTAACAGAGATGATATTAGCCACTCTGCAGGAGGAAGTTGGCCACTGGTATCCTCGAAAGCAGAGGATCCATCCAATAGCAGCCATCCTTTGAGATTAAGGATGGTACTGACTTGGAAACAAGTTAGTAAGAATCTAGTCAGTAAGATTCTAACCCCCAGTAGTCTCAAAGTCACTGTTGCCCTAGAGGAAATGATATTCACGTTTGATTAATCCCTCTGAAGCATGAATGAGAGATCTACCGTGAAAGGAAAAACAGTCACTATTTGAACAAGGCTTAGAACATTCATAAGGCCATTGGTTAAACAAGAAAAAAAAAAAGAATCAATTTACCAAACATCTTGGAAGCTTACCTACTCCAAAAAAAATTTTGGAGAATGAACAGGCAGCACTTGAAGTCCTGTTACACAGTGAAACAATTAAAACAGTGGACACAGAGGAACCATGTTATATTAAACTCAGAAATAATAGTTATCTCTCGTAAGACCTTATCAAAGGGAAAAAGGATTCTTTAAAGAAATACTAAGGACAGGGAATATTTAAATGGGGGTGGGAGGAAAGGGTAATAAGATAATGGACTAGCTTTTCTAGTCTTTTCTTTAAAATCTTTAAGGTAGTAGTTCCATGACCTTTTGAAACCAGCATCTATTAGGGTGACTGTTGCAGCTGATCTTGCACAGAAGCTGGGAAATAGAATTAATTTTCTACAGCTACATAAAACCTGCACAGAAAAAGACTCCCATGTATTTTTCTTCTTCCTTCCTTTTACTTGTGTTTTGTCTATGACATCATTAAAAGCCAGTTATTCAAGATAAAGCTTCAGGGTAGAAAGGAAAGCCTCTGTTGTTTACTGGAAAATTGCCCAGATGCATCTCAACTGGTAGCTGCACCTAAGTGAATGTTACTTAAAGGAGCAGTGGCAAATTGCCCACTTAGAAGAGTTTTGTATGCTAAGAGATCCGACTGACAGCTGACCTTGTGCAGATTGCTTTACCAGCGTCAGCAAGTATTTCTGTAGGAGGAAGGACATGATTTGGCTCATCATTCCTGTAGTCTACCATTAGAATTTTTCCTCCATATAAGTCAATTTTCTTTTAAATTCCTAACTGTAGCAATAGATAACTCCCCCTCACTGAGGTTTCTGCGCTTGTATGAAGCTACTAAAGTTAAGTAAGTGTGAATGTCTGTCAAGTACAATCCTTGCAAGAGACCATGTATATTTTACGTTTTTTGAGTAAAGAGTAATTATTAGCTAATTAGTATAATGAAAGTAATATAAAGCAGATGCAGAGAAGACCTTGTGGAAAATTATTAGGAAATAGATAACATGTGATTTGGTCAAAGCAAACTTACAGATAAGAATGAAAGTAGTGGCCATGTGGAGGGACAATCAGTGGCTGTCTATCTCATACACTTAGGGAATAATTTAATCAAGTTTGCTATTGTACTCAGTGCTTCAAGCTGTTCAGTTTTCACAAGTAGATAATTTGTGCTCTGATTTGCAACGTTCCTACACAGTCAAGGTTTCGTGTCAAAACGGTCGTTTATTGAGGAGTTTAATCTTCTTAGTATAAAGTAGGAAATACGAAGGAAGAAAATAAAATGCGGTCATGAACTGATTGAGTGGTACGATGGGAGAACTCCTTTTGACTTCATACAGAAATATTCATGGCTTTTGTCTGGGATTATCCCACTGTATAACTTTCTTCCTTTTAGCCTACTTTTGCCTGTTTTTGTAGTGGGGCAGTACAGCATTCTATAGGAAGGTAGAGCAGTATTGTTGACTAAAGTAAGGTAAGTCGCTATTCAGTCAAACGTCTTTTGATAAAAGAATCTTCAGTTCTGAAACGCCTGATGCTGTCATTAAATGTAGTATGTTTTTCTGTATTTCTGATTACTTTCTGAAGTGACAGAGATGGCTGGAAAAATACATGCGCAATATGGCTTAGGAAAATATTTTACATATAAAAAAATTAGCGTTCGTCTTCAGGTTAGTTCTAGGGATTTTTATAATCTTTAAAACATATGCATACATGTTTGTCTTATATGATTAACTCATTAGGTTTCCAATTTTCATAGAAAGATGTAAGGGATATCTTGACTCCTGTACATGTTGAAGCAAGTTATCATCTGGGGCGTCATATTCAACAGAAAAGAAACAACGAAGAATTTTCACCGCTTCAGCCAGTTCTTCAAAGGAGGAAAGAAAAAGATGTTGTAAAAAGCAAGGTTAGCGTAAGAATATTTTTCAAATGCAGTAAATAAATATTCACGTTTTAGTCTTTAGATAAAAGAAACTTCACATAGTAATAGTATGTGCACCTCAGAGCACACAGGTGTGCAATTCATCCTTTAAAATATATTTCTGGAATTTTTTTGTAACTTCTTCAGCTACACAGGATGAGTCACTTTCCAGTATAAAATTGTCCTTTAAAATGAATTCTGTGTTAAATATCCAATGTGATGTTTGTATTAAACTGTTTCAACAATGTTGAGACTCCCAAGTTTTCAAACGCGGTTGGGGGCAGGGGGACCCAGTGCATTCTGTATCCTTAAATGAACATGAAATTGTCATTTTTCTCTCCCAAACTTAAGAGACTTTTACTGTGACTTATGCAAAAGACAGGATGCTCTGAATTTTTAGCTACCAGATGGTCACAGAAATATTATGACTTCTCACAAACAGTAAGCTTCACGTCATTCAAATACAGTTGACAATCAGAACTTCGAGATATCTGAAAGCTCCTTTTAAATGGCATTTTTCTCCCTCTGGTCATCATACAGTATTTTGTTTTAGGAACCACACAGTCTGACAGGCAGGTTCTTGTTGAATATAGGGACATAACTGTGCCCTGTGGAATATTGATAACCAAGGCACTGACACAAGCAACCCATGGTATCTCCAGGCTCATCATATCTACAATGCAATAAGTAAAGTTTGTGTAATAAAACTCTCTAGCAAGACTTACTGTGCCATATCATAGGAGAGATTGCAGAGACCTCCGTTTTGGATCCACTAAAACGCTCTGCCCTTTTTATGTACTGCTTTTAAAGTTGGGTAACACCAGGCCACTGATTTAGTTGTGAAAGACTGAGCATTTGCAGAGACTGTGTTTGGAAAATGGCAAATCGTAGCCTGAAAGAGTTGTTTATATGAGCAAGGACTATTAGCGAATTCCAGATGCTAGGTAACAAGGTGATAGGTTTCTTTCTTTTGGAAATACTTTTACTCAGTATAATCTACATAGTCTACTAAAATGCCTCCTTTTTTTTTTTTTTGTTCTATTATAGTTTGTTTTTGCAAGGCTTTGCTCCCAAGAAAATTGTTCTGCTGACTTGAGAGTTTCTGGAAAAGTGGCTTTTCCAAAGTAAGTATAACGTAGCTTTCATTTGCAGAAAGAGGCTCAATAAGATTTTATCTAAATTGCTTCTTAATCTTTTGTATGTAAAGAAAACTAATTTACAAAAGTAGACTATGGACTCCCTGAAAAAATATGAGGCATAAAAATCGGTGTTTAGTTGAAGAATATTTCTAAATTTTAAATTTTTTTAGGAAATGTAACAGAAAAGTATATAATTGAATTATTGATGCCTAATCAGAAGATTTTACAGCCTATAAAGCATATCTGCTTGACAAAAAGGTAAACTTGTTCTACATTTCATACATAAGTTTGCTAAGACAGAGAGCTCAGTGTGCATTCAATAGGTACACCGCATAACTACTGTTAAATTGACAAACTATCAAGTTTTTTTTTTTGCTCTCATGAAGATACTAAGATAGTATACTTGCACTGTAGAAAGGAAGCTACTTCAGCTTTGTACTAAAAGATTGTTATATTTAGTATTTCCATTATAAAACTATTAAGTGATTTTTTTTCCTTATTTTCTTAAGAATATTGTATCTCAGTTTTATGCTGCTGATTGAGACACCAGATGGTTGGGTATTTTGTGAGGTTTAGAGTCTTCTTCCGTACATGAACTAGCTTGCGTTTTCCAAAACTAATTTTGTTTTGCAATTTTTCATTTACATCCCTATTTTTTTAGATCTCTTTCAGTATGTTTCAGTTTTTCCTATTCCTTCAGTTATGTATCTTGTTTAAATTCTGTTATGCAAGATCATTAATGCACTGTCAAAGTATTTAAATATAATTCAGATTAGCGTCTTGCAGAATCTATACTATGTTAAACAATGCTTTGTGAGATACACCTAATAATCACCTTTGGAAAGTTTCAGACCATGTACTACCATTTCTACGCAAGATAGTCTTTAATGATTTTAATATTTTATCATCACAACCTTTTTTCTTTATTTAATATTACTGTGTAAAAATAGAGAGGCTGTACTTGTGAATCTTAGCTAGTTAGGTATTTTGTGTGCAACCTGGACTTTCCTGTGTAATTTATCATTTTTAGAGTTGATTCTATTTTAATCAAAATACTAGGTTTATCTTGTAGAACAGCCTAGAATGACACACACAGATGATGACAGTCATGTAATACTGATTAATCACACCTGAGTAATTCTGAGCACAAGCATTTTCATCTTCATAGCTCCCAGAATAAGGCCTACAGCATAAGTCCTAAGCCCTTCCTTTTCCTGAGGCTTTAAGATTATTTTGTTTGAATAATTTTGAACTTTTCAGGGAAAAAACGTGCAGCATTTTCATCTGTGATATTAGCAATGCAGTTTTTTTAAGTATTTAAAAGCTCTAAAAAAGGAAAACAGATCACAGTATGTCTATTTGAAATTAGGTACTGGAGAACAATGGCAGCTTTTCAGTGTAATAAAAAGGCTAAATAATAGCGTGAAGTATCACCTTCACTTTGTGCCTCCAGTATCTCGATGAAAAACTAGTTAGCTATGAAGGCTTAATTTATTTGGTCTAAACAGAATGCATTAATTATCCAGGAACAGCAAAGCAAACAGTTTTAGTTTGAAAAGAATGAAATCAAGTAGGGGTATCACTGTATTGCCGCTGTTACTGAGTTTGTCATGTATACGCTTTCATGTTTGCTTTAAATTGCTTAGATTCTGGCCTGCTCTGTAATTTTCTAGTCTGCGTTGTGCATTTTTTTAATGAACTATGATTACCAGGGAAATGCTGTAGTTCAGCTTTATTGTAGTCCCAGATGCGTACCTGGTGCTTTTGTGTACTTGTGCGTGAAACTGGTAGGCATCTTTGTGCCGGTGTCTCGTTAACAAATTCAGTGATATTGTATAAAAGAAGGCTGAATGGTAAATAGATAACTGTAGTAAAATAGCTTCAAAATTTAAACTAAACTAAAATCAAGCTACTGAAACGTTAACACTGTATTTTGCTTTAATTTGCTTTTGTTTTGGAACCTAACTGCTTATGCAGTGCTTTTACCTTCTGTTGCTTGTCTAAGTGCCAGTTTCTTTCCCAAAGGTGTTCAGTGACTAATGCTTTGGTTTCAAGCCAGAATATCTGATAAATGTCTATTTCTAGGCAGCCCTTCTACAAGTCTTAATTAAACTTTAATGTCAAGCTGAAGTTTACTTTTAGACCCTCATAGGGTATCTCTACTTGTAACATGATTACAGAACATTACATAGAACATAAGACAGACGTGTTCACTTACCCTCCTTCTGACCTGTTTCTTGTTAACTCAGTCCTGTACTTTGACTAAAGAGAGCTAAGGGCTGTGACCAGAGCTATGCAAATAATAATAATATGAAAGAACTTAAATAACCATCTAATTTTTTAAAATAAAGTACATATCCATATTGGATCAGAACTGCAAACCATCTGAGACATAGCTTGTACATTTTTTTAGTATTATTTAATATATCTAAGCACTCAAATCAGGTGCTAGAGGCTTCATGATACCTCTCTGCAAAGGATTGAATTTTGAAATAATATCTGAAAATACTGTAGCAGGCACATCGCTGTTCTCTTCTGTAAAGGTCCCTTCCCTATATCGTAAAAGGCAGAACGTGATTGGTTTGATAACACTGTTCTTGTTTCATGTTAATAATCTTAGGTCTTAAAAGGTACAGTACCAGAGCTGACCATCATCTCACTGTTACAGTACCTTCAGTTAAAGGAATGAGTAAATACTTTTTTCATAATGTCCAGTTGAGTTTTTTCAGATACTAGAGCAAAATGAAGTTAACTAAAGAAGCAGTGGAGGTTATTTTTCTGCATATAAGCTCTGTATTGTTTTTCACATTGTGTTCTTCATATTCTTTTTCACTTTCTATTCTGATCATTATTTTTATAGGCCTAATGATAAGAAAACATATCTTGCTGTTGGAAGTACGAAGACATTATTGCTGAACATTTCTCTGCTCAATATTGGAGATGATGCATATGAAACTGTCCTCCACATTCAGATCCCTAAAGGCCTTTATTTCATCAGAGTTTTAGAACTGGTAAGAACAAAAAAATCTCTAAAATCGTAATTGATATTTGTATTTCTCAGCCAGACCTTTGCAAAATTAGGGATTATGTATTTTGCAGTTTCTTTAGATATTGACAATTAAAGCATCCCAAAAAAAGGTGAAAAAACTCAAGTTTTGAAGTTCTTAGGCTTCCGGTTACCCAAACTACAGAACAGGTGCAATTTGAACAATTTCGGTTACTTTTAAATCATTTCAATAATAAGATATGATAGTAACAACTAAGTGGAAACAGGTGGTTTCTAAATGTACTTCAGGATGTTACTACTACTTTTTGTCTGATGTGATCACGTGGGCTTGTTCTCAGTAATCACAAAGATCTTGTTGAAGCTGATCTTTTTCACAGATTCTGAAGGCTGTGTATCGTCTTATGAAGAAGTTGCAAATCAAATTGTTCTCTCTTTACCCCATTTTAACTGATCTCACAGGTGTTTGTGTAGAATTGTCTTTCCCCCCGCCACCCAGCAGTCGGTTGTAAAGTTGAGTGGGCCTGATGCATACATCTTACCTTCATTATTAGAAAATAGAATGTGAGGTAATAGTAAAAATTAGTTAATATAAGGATATATTAGAGCAGTCGTGAATAGGAGTAGAATAGATTTGCGTCACTGAAATAACAAACACCTAGTTTTATTGTGCGCATATCTGAAAATGTCTTAAAATATCTTAAATCAAAATCTTAAAATGTCTGGAAAATAGTTTTAAATCACTAATAATTTGTCCTTTATTTTAGGAAGAAAAAGAGATACATTGTGATGTATTAGATAAAGAAATTCATGCAGTGAAACTTGAATGCAGCGTTGGCTATTTATATGTAGATCAAAAATCAAAGGTAAACTATGTATGAGGTTCCTAGCTTTCAAAATGCTTTAAAATTTTTAATTAGGATTTTCAGGGGATTAAAAAAAAACACTTGATTTTTCAAAATCTCTCCCTTATTCCCAACTAATGTCATCTTTTATCATGGTAGTATCTGAATCTCTCTGCTCCTTTTAAAGTTAGTTGCTTAAACATTCTCTGGAATAGTTCATTAAGGGACTACGTTGCATCAGTTGATTGCACTTGGCTTCCTAGACAATTAAGTAAGTTGACTAAAATTATGAACAAATGTGGTAGCTCAAATGGAAAGACAGTAGAAGTCTTCTCTTTCTAAAAGACTTTGGAACTAAGGAAATTATAAATTATCTTAATAAAACCTTTTCGTTACAACCGTGTTAAGATACGCTATCATGTGATATAAAGACAATTTCATTTGTTCTACAGCTGGATTTTAGTTTCCTCTTGGATGCAAGCTCATTTACCAGAGCAGAAGATGACCTCAACATCACCATTAATGCTACCTGGTAAAGTCTGATAAAAATTGCTGTGTTCAGTGAAGGATATTCCTAGCTTTGGAAAACAGAATAGGGAACACTGGAAAGACTTAGTGAAGCACAACTGCAAGAAAGGACATCTATTGCAAAACCTGTAGAGAAATAGAAATTACAAAAAGAAGACAGATAATAGCTATTTAAACAATAAGCAGATTTCTGCCAGTATAAAATGTTCTTTTTTAATGCCTGACTTGTAGTTACCAATAAAATGCTTTTGTTTTAATAATCTGGAAGATATATGTTTAATACTTGTTCATAGAAATAATGTATAGCATATGACACTGCATTCTAAACTCATTTTTCTCTCTTTTTGTTTTTATAGTAAAAATGAAGAAATGAGTATGTTGCTGGATAACACTCTAACTTTAACTGTACCTCTAAAATATGAGATTGACTTAAATGCTCATGGGTAAGTCAGCTATTGCTATACATGCACATCCATAGAACTGTTGTCCTGTTAATCTAGTAACTTCCTAAAGTTTTTAAGTAGAAGCGTAAGGCAGCTAAAAATCCTGAGAATGAGATGGCACAGCTGTTTCTAGGGTCTCCTATATACTTTTTTTTCCCCTTACTGTGAGGTGAGACCAATAATGTGGTACTTTGAACTTGTTTCTTAACTGATTAGTCTTTGTTAAGACTGCAGTTTTTTTTGATAGGAAGAGCTATTGAGTAAGAGCACAAAAGCAGAACTTCTTTTTGTTTTCCTTAAAGTTTATTTCAAAACTAAAAAAGAACTGGAAAGGATATTTACATGAAGGTTTTTACAAAAAAGAATCTGAAATACATTTATGAATGAAGCATGGACCCCAGAATCTTGACTCTTTTTAAAAAAAAAAAAAAAAAAAAAGACACTGTATTTACTTATGTGAGAAACCCCACTAAAGGACTTATCACACACAGAATTATGACTGAATTTTGAAAACCTGCACAATCAGAGTCTTACACACTGAATGTGATAAATGAATGCTAATCTAAGAACCAAAATAGATATTCTCTCAGTTAGTTATTCCAGTAACAGATGGCATTAGTTGCTACTTCTAGCTCTGTGAGTTTTGCAGCTGTATTTTATTTGGCTGTCCAATTAAATGTTTCAAGCAGAAAACTTAAAGATATATCAGACTATTATAGCAACTTTCTGTTACTGGCTTGCTTTCTTAAAATCATCTTGAACAAACAGCCTCAGTTCTTGAAAAAGCAAATGAATCTTGTAAACTTAAGTTGGAGATGAAGACAGAGAGGACTGAAATCCCCCTACTAAGGAAACAAAAGATATCTCAGCTGGAGGTAGAAGAGATGAGCAGCCATTTCTCATCACAGTGTTCATTTTATTCCATAGAAGCCTTTTCAGTGTAGAATTAGACCATGATAATGTGTCCCCTTGATACTCGTATTCCTTGCTTAGCATTGACCATACTCTGTGTTTGTGGGGCATTCATGGAGCATAGTTTTTGGTGGGAGGGATTCTGATTTGTCTGATTCTTCTGCCTTTTCAAGAGGAAACAGTACAAAGGTAGAGGACTTCTGCTCAGTGTTCCTGGAGTTACGTAACTGCAAATTCAAGTGTTTCTTCTCTAAGGATCAATACTACTGGAGATGATACAGACCAGAATGCTTATACTAATGTTATATACTATTTCTGTTAATTAACAATTTCTAAACTGTTGTAGCTTTGTTACACCAGCTTCATTTTTTTATGGAACGAATGAGAAAGATTCACCAGTTACTTGCATGAAGGAGAACATCAACTTCACTTTCCATGTAAGAACTTCACTTTGTAAAACCTGTTATGCTTGTTTTGAATGTGAAGACTTAGATTTCCAGCGTCTCTAAAGACGGTCTGTATGCTCAGTAAGGGAAATTTTTAAAAGTACAGGGTGACCAACTCCCATTCATTAGTGATGGAAGCGGGTGTTAATCCCTCTTTGAACACTTCTTTTGTCCTGAACAATCTTCCACTGAACAGTTAGAGAAAAAATACTTATGCAAGCAGGACTGAAAGTGGTAGAGCAGTTCTGACTTGCCACTTTTTCCATTCAAATAATTTCTTCTAAAGTGTTTATCATATGGATATCATATGGAACTAGGAATTACTTATAAATGTATCTACAGTTATCAGTTCAGATTTGATAATCCTGCTGGATTAAAAGCAGGAGTTGGACATGAATCTTCCCTGGTTCCTTTTGCACCTTCTACTGGAAGGCAGTCTGTATGACTTCAGGGCAGTCATAGCAGACAAGCACCACTTATTCACTGAGTTCAGAGAAGTGAAGGATTCAGTAAGCCTCCAGAATGAATCAAACAACTCATCTCTTGAAATATTACAGCTCCTAGTAGAATCCAGTTTCACGACAGTGTAACAGTGCATGCACTACCCTAACCTGTGAAGTTTTTGTATTTATACTTTCTATACATGTATTTGTTAATTGAACAGCTACCGTGCGTTAAAGCTTCAAACATGTAACTCTTCCCTACAAGGTTATCAGTGCAGGACCAAGCATGGCTCCAAATATAAACTTGGAGATAATGGTACCTAATGCCTTTCCACCCCACAACTTCAAATTATTCAACTTGCTGGATATCAAGGTAAGCAGAGGTTATTTCATATTGTTTTAGCTATATGAATTATATGAAAAAGAAAAGCAGAGCATAGCAGGACTAGGTACTAGATATATATTCCATTTTTATCCCTTTCTTTCAAACCTGCCTAATATTTATTGTTCTCACTAGAGTCCCATTGAACGCACTAAATGCATCTGTGCAAAGCTTGATCCTAGGCATACATCTGTGTATTGTGTTTGTCAATTCTTTCCTGCTGTGGCACTGAACACTTTATAAATAGTAGAATACAGTGTATTTAAAAAAGAATCAGAAAACTTCTACACTGAATAACCTTTTACAATATTTTAAAGGCTCTACCCCATGAAGCCTAATCCTGTCATATCAGACAGAACGGTTGTTGTTACACAGAACATGTGATGCACAGCCCTTCCTTAATATGATTAAGAATCAGCTAAAATAGGGTGCAACAAATGCTCTATGTCTGCTCTATGTCTATACGTATGCTTACAGTCAAAGAATGAAACACAGATTACCTCAAGCCCCTCTCTGGCTTATTATAGCTCCTTCCCAAATTGTTCTGTCTAATTAAGTGCAACAGAGAAGCATAAAAGTTAAATTGGGCTGTGATGAGGTAGAGTGGGCAGGAAGGGTCATCTTCAGCCCATGTATTTTAGAATTTTGAAAGTAAAAGTTACGTTCCTTTTGAGCTCTTTGCTTTTCAGAAATCTGCGTCTAATCACTATCTGATGTTTAAAAACTAAGCACTGATTTTGTTATTTTTATTTCCAGACAACTATTGGACAATGTTCCTATAATAAATATCCTAGAAATTGTAACGCAGCAGAGAAAAATGACAACATATTAAAGGATCTTGTCACTTTCTTTTCAAAGCCTGATAAGAGACAAATGGTAAGGTCTGTCTTTTGGCAGCAATGGGAAATAAATCATTACTCGGTGTGAATGAGCCTTTAGCCAGCGGTGTATTTTATATGATGAGGTCACCAGAGCAGTCTTCCAAAGGTTTTTGCTGGGATGTGCGATGTTCAGCGTAGTCATAAGTGACTTAGTAAGAGAGGTGAGAACTGAGATGAGAAAGTTGATTAATGATGCAATGTTACTGAAGTCAGTGACTGTCACTTCTGAAGACTGCAGAAGGATTATGTAACTAAATGAGTAGGCAATAGAATGGAAGATGAAATTCAGTAACAAATTGAAAATGACCTATGTGGGAAGATAGCCTTAATGTCAATTATATGAAGTGTATATATATATATGAAGAATATCTAAAATTTATTGCCTTTTCCATATCAAAAAAGTGCCATCAAATGTAACTAATAGGAACTAGGTTCAAAAAAAGCAAAAGTACTCCTCACTCTTACTGATGTTTTGACTGCTAAAAATAAGTGGATTGCAAGGGAGATTAGACAGGTTAACAGGAGTAAAAGTCATTAAGAATCACTACATATACTGAAATCATTTTTGGCTCAGGAAGTTCCTAATGAAAATACATAGGAGGGCTAGGACAATATCATACGCACCTGGCCTGATCTTGTTCATCTCTCAATACCTGCTTGCAGACCCTGCTGGAGATCAATATTGGTCTAGGTAGTCAAAATCAGAATTGCTATTCCAGTGTTATATTTTCCAGGATTTGTTCTAATAAAAATCTCTCTGGACTGGAATGTGTTTAATAAACTACAGTTTTAATACTTTAATTGTAAAAGAAACTGTATGTTTTCAAATATTTTAATTTTTTGGCTCTTAAGCAAGTTACAGAAACATCAATCACTGCTAGAGAGAGACTGTGCGCTAGAATATCAGATGCATTTCTTTCAAGTCAGAGCTTGGACATTGCAGTCTTGCAATACAAGCTTGTTTTTTCTTCTTCAAAGCTCTGAAATGGTGCTGTCAACCTACAAGTGCCCTCTCCCACTGCAGTAGTTAAGGACCCATCAATTATACTGGGTATACCGTTTATACGGGGTATCATGTAATCGCTGTCATGTCTCATTCCTGATAAACGAACTAATTTGAATTAACAGTGTAAAAACTAACAAACATACTTGTAACCAAGTTACCACAGTTGTTATTTTTCTCTTAGTCAAAAAACAAATCAATTTTTTTTAGAAATATGACCTGTTGTTTTGCATAGCAGTTAGATGTTGTACTGTTCCTTCAGCACCTAGGATGAACATTTCATAAATTGACAGTGATGAATGATATTGTGCCTACCCTTACATCCTGACCTGTCAAGCAGAAACACAGAGCTTTTCCCCTTTTACCTGGTTCCTGAATGTCTCTAGTTATTAACAAGAAAAAGTTGAAGAAGTTGAGTTTTAATCTTTCTTTTCCTTTACAGTACTGCATGAAAAATGACAGTCTTTGTTTACAAATATACTGCAAGCTTGGAAACATGGAAAGTGGAAAAGAAGCAACTGTTCAGTTCCATTTGGAGGCTACTCCTTCACTTTTAGAAATGGTAATGCATTTTTAATACTCAAGTAGACAACTTCAAGGCATAGTTGTAGCATTCTCTGCATATCATTTCTCTATATTAACATTATTTGGATTTAATCATAGTTTAACAAGAAATCTACTAAAGAAACGTTGCATGTTTTGTTATGTTTTATTTAAAAATGCAAACCACTAGAAAAGACTTATTTCAGATTATCATTTTACTTTATAGCATACATTGCTTCACCTGTTCTGGCTGGGTTATGTAGTACAGCACAGTTATTGCAAATGAGGTCATGATCAACATATAAGAAACTGAGCAGCTATTGAAAAACAGTTAGACAGGAGTATATAATAGAGTTTATTTAGTTTTCATCTGAGGAAGGATTCCTGACTAGAGGAGACACTGGTCTATCCCTTCATGACACTTATTGTAAAGGCAGTATTTCCTGGCCTTGCATACTGTAAATTGTTTGAAGTGTTAAGTTTATTCTGAATAATCTAACGCTGCTCTGCTAACTGCTGTTCTGTTATTTCAAGCATATTATAAAGTAGCATCCTTTCGTTCAGGTCAAAATACATTTAAACTTCTCAAAATGATAAGTGCCATTTGAAGACAATAAAATTAAAATGTATTTCCATAGAAAATCAAAGCAGCCAGATTTAAGTTCTGAACATAGTTTTACTTTACTATTAAAGAAAACTTGTGAAATGCGTCAGTTTAAATGCTAGAATCTTACCTTCTCTCTTGGATGAGGAGATCAATCAGTGCAGGGGGATTGCTCTGCTGTTTTGAGCACTGCTTTAAGGGTCATTAATAGAGTAGCTCCCAGATAAAAGGGAACACATAGGAAAAACGCCCTCTCAAAATAGAAACCAGAATTCTGTTAACCATGTCTGTCACCAGACAGTGCATCTGTCATCATTAACTCAATTAGTGTTTAATTCTAGCTCAATAACTGGACTTCTCTGAAAAAGGAAGTACGGATCTAGAGTTAGGTAAACCACCAACTGGGCTTTGTTACTGCTTTTGGTACTAATTTGTTTTGTGATTGGAAAAAGGCATAAAAGCCATTGTGTTAGATTGTGTGTGTGTGAGACTGTGTTTCAATGTGTTGAAGTTATTTTAAAAAAATATGATTTTTTTTTAATCAATCAGGATGATGCATCAGCATTGAAATTTGAAGTAAGAGCAACAGCATCACCAGAAAAAAATGGACGAGTTATTGAACTACACAAGGACAAGCAAGCTGCATATGTAAGAATTTCCTAAGTAGGGAATTTGTGATAATTCACTAAATAGTTAAAGTAGATAGCTAAAGTAGATTTAAAATGCAGCAGCAATTAAAATGGTGGGAGTCTATGCATATTTATATACAGCCAATGAATATATTACTGATTACTCAAGTATGTCTTTTATTTTCTCAGTTTGTTTTCTAACCAGCTAACACTAAAGTTATTTTCCTGTTTCTATAGGTGTATTTGGAAGGGGTGCACCACCAAAAGCCAAAATACCGTGTTACTGTCCTGATTATTGGGATAGGTTTAACAGTTGGTGTTACGTTGTTTTTGCTTCTTTCATTTATATTATGGAAGGTAGGTTTTCAGTAGTTTTCAGATATCATCAAGTCAGGAGTTTACATTGTTGATGGATCCTTGGATTCATTGTTGAAATTTAAGGGATAAGTAATGTTTTATTACGATCTATCCTTTCTAAAGAAAAATAACTTATTGTGGAAGTTGCTTTTTCATAAAATAAGGAAAACAAATATTTTTGCTTCTGCATATTCTACATCTTACATTATTCAACAACGCAGACCTCTTTCCATGTTTTATACGGTATCTAAAATTGATAAAATGAGATCAAAAGGAACATTTTTTTGGGCTGCTGCGCTACATTTAATGACTTTTTTTGACACCAGATTAGTAATTGTTTACAACATAGTTGGTCCGAATAAAATATTTTAGGCTTTAAGCTGCTACGCACGTGCTGACAAATCCTATGCATAAGTAGCAAAAGGAAAGGCTGAATGAAGCAGCTACCCTGACAAGTGATTAAGCAATTGTAAACTTTACCAACACACAGACTTTCTCCATTTGTCTTTTTTTTTTCCCCCAGGAAAGTGTAAAAATGAAAGATTTAAATCCTAGGTTTTAATATACCATTTCACATTTTAAAAAAGACTGGATTCTCTGGACTATCACAGTTCACTTGTTCTTACTCCTTGCAGAAGGAGAGTATTGGCCTCTCACTTTTCAGAGTTTTTCCTCCTTCCGTATTAGGTACAAATCAGAAAAAGTAAAAGAAAAAGCAAACCCACTTTTTTGGGGGGGGTTAATGAGTAACACTGATTGATTGATTACTTGGTATGACAAAGTAATGGCAAATACCATCCATTCATGAGCACCATAGACACACGTTTCATTTTAGTTCAAGTCGTATTGTTTAGCTCTGATTGATTGATAGCATATATCAGTAAACCTTTATTAACAGATTCCAAAATTCTGTATTTCAGATTGGCTTCTTCAAAAGGCAATACAAACCGGTCCCTCAAGACCAGAGCAGAAGAGACAGCTGGAGTTTTACAAGTGGGAATAAAGAGGACTAAGAAAGATGGCAAATAAATAAAAGCTCTCGTCAAATGAAGAATTTAAAGTTCAGGTTAAGTAAGTCAAGTCACATGAGGAACATCAATGACAGTTATGAGCATACTCGCTCTTAGAAAATACATTTTATTTCCCTGACCTGTGTGAAAGGCTACACCTTAATGTGCAGTTACTTTTCTATCATGAAAATGGCAAAACAGTTTTTGCATTGAAGTCTTACAGTAATATTTGAAATGCCATACATCATCTCTGGTTTCAGACAGAAGAACACTAAAGATAGATAGAAGAACTACTTACCAGAAAGAAGAATTCTTGCAAAGTGGTAAAGCTTGGCAGATCCCGAGCAATGCGATTTCAACCATATTGGCACAAATAATTCTATTAGTTTTCATGTAGCAATAATCTTTTGATTAGCCATTCAAGAAGGAGTCCTCCCTCATCTTGCTTTGGCAGTTTAACAAGGGTTTAAAAAAAAAAAATGGCTTAAACAGAGTAGGAGACCCTATGTAGAATACATGCATTTAGAAAACAGCTATCAATCAGAAGCTCTCTTGGGCTTCTGAAGGTAACATCACAAGCTTTGCTTTCACAGGCACAACTCTGACAATGCTGAGGTTTACACCCAGGCAATCCAAAGCCAGTAAGGTCAAAGGTGGATTTAAAGCAGGGAATTTTGTGTTGTAGCTTGAAGATGCAGCACAGAATCCTACCTCTAACATAGAAAGAGTAACTTATTGGAGAGTGTAATTTGTAGTCTGTTTGCATTGTATGTGCAAAAGTGACAGCATTAGTTATTTCTTCCTTTCCTTAGGTAACAGTGCCATGATGTTTTGGGCTTCTGTAGTGAAAGACTTCCCTGTAAGGTTTTTTTTTTTTTTTAAACAATTATTTATTTTTATTTATTTGAAGATTTTTTTTTTAATAGTGTTTAGCATCATGGTATTTAGTACTGTTATTCTTCCAGAACCTGAAAGAATTCATTCATATATGATAAAACAGAGAGAGAGAGAGAGAGAGAGAGAGAGAGAGAGAGAAACTCACCCAAAACACTCCAAATGCCAGCCTCCTTACTGGGCCAAATTTTATCTTTAGATGCGCCACATGCGACCTGAAAGTATTCAGGTCATTTGGAATGCTAGCTAGCTTGAGTTCTTTGCAAGTAGGTGTTTTCAAATAAATATCATCCAAACTGGCAGCCTCAGTGGCCATTCAGTGGAAAGGCAAAGGACTGAAAAGAAACATGGTCCAAAGCATTACTCTGCTATTACAAGAAGTTTCTTCAGCGAGTTAAGTTTGCACTGCCACCTAGCTTTGGTGAAACAATACAGAGCAAGAGGAAAAAAAATGGGTTTGTTCCCCAGCACAACTGGAGAATATATAGCTTCATCAATAAGTGAACTCATTGCAACAGCAGCATGTAATATAGCCTTTCTTGCCTTATCTTTGATGTCTTTCTGAAATGCTAGGAGAAATGAATGTAATATGTGCATACCTTTTGAAGCTGCATCAGCATATGGGAATTAGCCTGTGACTCAAAAGCAATACAGAGTGCCTGCAACAAGCAGTTTTGTTAATAGAGTATATTTTGTGCCATAAAAGCCACATTGTCCAAAGATTCTATGTATTGGGGATTGTTTTTCTGTGTGAGATGAGCACTCATTTGATGCCAAAGACATGGCTCACTCAAAAAAAAAAAAAAAAGTTTTTTGCTCTAAAACTTCTGCAGTGTAAGGACAAATGAATGTGCATATATTAAAAAAACAGAATAAAATGTGTGGAATAAAATATTTTCTTGCAAGTTTATGAAATATATACAAAAAAGTTTATTTTCCAAATGGCTTTAGTGAATTATTGCACTTTAACCAAAATATCTTTTAACAGAAATTAGTTTGATAGGATAGCATATTGTAAAAAATATACCTCAAATACTGAAAAAAGCATTATAATTCCTTTTAATACAAACAATGCAAAGAAACTAAAACTTTTTATTTGTCTTTGAAATAGTTTTACATTTGTCAATAAATGTGATAATGTTGACTTGCAAATTGTATATATTCTATTCCGATTTTATTATTAACATACAAATGTTGGTGGACTATTCTTAGGACATGAAACAAAAATTCAGTTTTTATAAGTAAGGTTGACATGTAAATAATTGTATAGCCCTGATAATTTATCACTTTCAGTTCATTAAAAAAAGACCCCACAAATTAAGCACATGAATGCTGTCTGCAAGTTCTTACTAGCCTATTAATTTTCAATTCTGTAATAAAAAGTTTAATCCACTACATACAGCTAGAACAGTCTTCTAAGCCTTAGGAAGCTTAATTTGAATTGCCTTGAATGTGTTAAAATATTTGATGTGATACAGAATCAAAGCAGTATCAATTATAACTGCTTAACTGGAGACTACTCAGTACTGTTCAGACAGCAGGTAAAAGTTGAAACAAGAGGTTCTAGCTGGACACAAGGAAAAACTTTTTCCTCAGAAGGACACTCCATCATTGGAATGGATTTCATATTTACGCAAATGTTTACTGAAGTAAGGCTTTAAAGCAACTTGTGTTAGTCATGAGACAATGCAGCTTTCATAATATTACTTGTTAGCCTTCTTTTGAGCAATAATCCAAAGACAAGTAAATAGAACTACATTAATTATCTCTCAGATCCTGCAGACTGGCAATCTTGTCAATCTACATTTCCATCATCTCAGAAAAAGCCAGTACCCAGAAAAAGTAGAGTGTTAATCTCTCAGGTATCTCAAATAATTAACAAAGTTACCTAAAAACCACTTATAAACATTAAGTTTATGTCCTGTAGGACAGTTACAAAAATTGAGTCAATCATATTTGGCATAATTTTATTCTTAGCAACAACAGAAACCATGCTGAATATCACTTCAGTTCTAGGATACATTATATATTTTAAAACATTTTGTATGAACAGCAGTAGACCTCAACATATACATTAATTCCTGTATGACTAGAAGTGGGCGGAAAGCAAATATATTAAACTAGCATTAAAAAATAAGGATACCTGGAAATTAAAGTACCTGATTCGGGGCGGGGGGACGGACAAAACAAAACAAAAAAATCAGTATTTTGCCACTGGTTGCCTTTTTAGTTTCCGCTAACTAGTTCTGTTTAAATAAACTGAGTTACCTGATAACATGGATAGCAATAACAGACTAAATAGTATCTTGTATTTATTGCAGTAGGTAAAATAATTTGTAATAAAAAAAATATTTTATTCTGATGTACGCTTCTAGAACCCAAAACTTATAAAATAGAGACCAATATATTTTTCTTCTTGTTAAACCTAGACAGCTTCTTTACAGTTAAATGTAACCTAATAAAAATATTTATTTAAAACCAGAAATATTACAAACATTTCAAAGTAAGCTTCTGCTACCACCATTGAATTTAGCAAGTGAAAGACTAGGACCTTAAAAATATGTGCATATAGATGAAAAAAGTTTATTTAATGCAGCACCTGCAGCATAAAAAGCTGTGGATTCCTTCTATATACAGTTACATGTTGCTTTGGAACCTTCCAGGTCATCAGTGTTCACTCCATAGAGATCAATAAGTTGAGGATGTACCCTGTGAGGGAGGAAGGCAAACTTCATCAATTTAATTAACTCTTGCAGTGCGTGTCACTTTTTGGAGAACAAATCTATACAAACTGCTACATAGAATAAAATCAGCTGAATATATTTGTGGCAGCTCCCATGAGGTCATCTTTAAAAGTAAGTATTAATTTCTCACCCATGCTATAACACGATCCCCCTTTCATTTTGCAAACCAGACCATGTTACAGTGAGCTCTCTGTCTGCAGCTCATCCTCTGTGCACTGCAGAAAAACAAGCCACCTCCCATTCTATTCTACTGATCATCTTATTTCCTTGTGCATTAATCTCATTCTGATTCTAGATACGCAGACCGTTCTCAGGCAGCACTGCATTTCCCACTGTTGAACAACTGCGTTTTTGTTAAAGTTACAGACAGAGCTTTTCCAAGCAGAAAAAAGCAAGCTCCTTATCCCAAAAGCAAACTCCTTCTCCCAAAGGAAGCTCCTCCCAGGACTCAGACCTTTGCATACAGGTGTTCTCTGAGGAACAGAAGGGTGAATGAAGTAACAGGCAGAAAGAAGAGAAGTGGAGCTGGAATTTGATGATGTGCCAGAAAGGAAAGGCCATACAGGTCATAAACCTTTTGAAAGATGGGCATAAGAGAATCAGGTAGAGGCCCACACAATTGCAACAGGACCAGACTGCAGTGCACAGCAGGACACATAAGTGCTATTATTATGGTATTGACAAGACTCAATTGGGTGTCACTTGTATTATATTCACTTAAGATTGCAATACTGCTGTACTGCTGGCATGCTATCTTTAAATACAATACTTAGCCTTACCGAATGTGAACTTCGGATGCTTCTTCCATTAAGTCTCCATCTATATTCCAAGGGTAAGTTCCTTCTGCAGAAGTGGTTTTCAAATAGGTCACTTCTTTGGTATCAAACCCACTTTCAAGTCTTGGTTGTACTTTCACTTCTTCAACTGTGTAGGTCTCAACAAAGGGAAAATTGAACTAAACCAAACACAAACGTATATTAATAGGTGTTAGCTTAGAAACAGGTTGAGCTTCTTAAATTAAAAAGCTTGCTCTTTCTTTTTAAGTAAATGAGAACATTTAACTTTAGCTTTGACCACATGAAATATTTTCTGGTTAGGATAAAAATAGCATGTTAATCTATAAATACTAACTAGTGCCTCCGAAAAAATGATTCTGTTCGATTTGTATTTCCATATCAAGGTTGCTCAATTTACAGGTTGAGCTGGTATATTTTTCACACTCCAAAACATGCTTTCAGAGTACATGAAAGTCAAAGCAGCATTTTTCTTATAGTTTGTTCATCACTACCAGTAATCCCGTCCTAAATGAGGCTATTTACTGGATAAATCCAGTAAGTGGTCATTTTAGGTTTAAAGGAGAGCCCACATCCCCTTCTCTAATTTCTAATGATAAAGAGGGAGATGAAAAAAATATACACACACATCTATATATATATATATATATATATAAAAAATATATAAGAGCCTTCCTCCAAGAGTCTTAACAATGACAAAATTAAACTATTTCCTAAACTCAAGTGTTAGTGCTATCATATGGACCCGTCACCCACCTCTTCCCAAAATTCTCTGAATGCTAAATGTTTATCTAATCCACATCTAAACCTTCCTTTAAAAATGATTTCATATAGCACAAACTGGCGTGAAAGACTACAAGTATACGTTTAGGCTGTGCACTGGTTAGTCAGGACAATGGTAGGCCACTGTGTTTAGATGCTTCATTTTTTATTTTTTATTTTTTCCTTCAAGGACACATTGACCACAATTTGGAAATGCAATTCTGCAAACATTCATAACTAGAAGGAACATATACTATCTGCTAAAATCAGTGGTAACAATCTTCTGCTACCAGCATAGCATGCAATAATCTGTCAAAATGGACTTTCTTATTCCTTACAGAGTTGTATGATGCCTCCCCCGTCTATGTTCTCTGTACTGTACAAAATTTAAACACAGTACATATTTCCTCTTTTTTGGTGCAGGGGCTTTACGCTCATAAAACTATGGTACAACACAAATACAACTTAAACCACAACAGATGGGCTGAAATAGGCTAATCGGTATTAGTCTGGTGATTTAAAAAGAAAAAAAAAATCAGATAAAAAGCAGCTAATGTATTCTGACAGGAAGCTAAGTCTCCTTAGGAGGATGCTAACATTAACTCTTACAGCAGGTCTACCTTCATGATTAACTGTTCTTTTTATAACTACAAGAAATTAACAGTACCTGATTTTTAACACTGGCGTATCTTTTCAGGTGTTTAATAAACTCTGAACGAGAAGTATTTTGTACAACAACAAGAGCCATGCTTCCATTATTCAACCTGAAAAGCAGATAGACTTAGTCCCTAAGAGTAAATCTGTAATTCAAAAGTTTAACAGGCTCTTCAAGCCTAGGATCAAAAGTAAATTAATAGGAAAAAGATCCCTTTTTTTTTTTTTTTTTAAATGTTTGCCACAATAAATTGTCTATAGAGGAATATAAATTACACAACTGAGCTAATTTGGCATCTACATAATAAACACCGTAATAATTAATTTGAACTCCCTTATTATCTATAATCTACTGAACATAATATATGCTAATAATAAATTCTGCATTTTTACTTAAGATTATTTTTACACATCGGTGATGACAAACTTATTTTTACACTTTTCTTTCCAACAAAGGCTAACGATTACCATAGATGCTGAGAGTCAGGTATTTACCAGGCAGCCATTCCCATGACGCATGCAAGCACAGCCCCATCGTACGGCCCAGCGGAGAGGGTTCATTCACCTCCTCCATTCACACTCAGGCTGCTCTAACAAATATCTTGATCCTTCCCTCCACTGCTATACAAACTGTTTTAGAAATTCTCAGTAGAGTTCTAGTTACACTTTGCACGTAGAACATAAGAACTGAAAGGAATTTTACACAAAATCAAAAGGTCAGATGCTAGAGATTAATCAAGATGACAGACGCTCTGCAGTTCAAATAGTCAGTGCTACTAGGTATCCAGTTGCAATTGATATTTTAGCATCTTCAAGAATGTGGGTCATGACACTCAGCTAGTATTAATTCACAGATTTCTTAACACAACTATACCTTGTCACAAAAGCTAACAACCCAAGGCTTAACGCAATCATCCCTAAGGCCCACTTAAGTCATGGAGACAAATTAGTTAAAAAAAACAAAAACAAAAAACCACACACCACAGTGACTGCTGAGATTATAAAATATGTAATCTGTTTATAAAATACATATTCTGAATATATATGTATACATTTATTCAGCATGTATGCTCTGAAAGTTACATTTTAAGTTTTTTTGTTTTTAAATATTTCTAGCCTAACACCACCAGAGATCTTTCCATACTCAGAGTTCTCTCGCTACTTAACTGTTGCATCTGTTATATTCTCAGATTACAATAGAGTACCACCTAGAAAAATAATTTTTAGATAACTCTTGAACAAGTCACCTAGCATAGCATTAATTTTCTGAGCTAGAAAACTGTGATGGTGAAATCGAAATAGTTGCGTCTTTATCATATTTCCTACGATAAAACGGAACACCACATTACTGGACAGTGCGTTCTGCATTATCTCCACTTATTTTCAGAGATGATAGAGTTCTCATTAATTCTTTTGAAAGTCCAATCTGCAGGAAAGCGTGACACCTACACTGTGAGACGCAACAAGCTTGTATGTCTCACAGTGTAGACAGTTAAACAAATCTTTACTAGTTTTACACTAGCCTGAGTTTGCAAAAACTGGAGTTTGCAAAAACTGGAGTTACATGCAATGGTCAAAACATCCATTGTTACATTGCAAAAAGCATTTGAGGAAAGTAGGACAAAGTGAGAACATCTGAGTTTAGCTGATGCTTCCATAAAGGATCTTGCATTTGCAACAATTAGTGCAACGTTTATATTTCCCACTCTGAAAAGACTTGTAGTCAAGATGTGCCTCACTCTCAGAAATGAAGCACCTTTCTGAAGTGCCTGCTCTTCCTACCAGTTGACTGCACTCCTAAGATTATAAAAATAACTAGTATTTCCTCATATGAGGAGACAGTGGGGTCTACTGAGCAACTCAGCTGTAGGAGAAACATGCTCAGTTTCATACAAACCTGCAATAAGTGCATGCAGTTGTCATAAAATTCTCTACCATGAAAAACGGGTGCAGAAAGCAAAACTAAGAGAGACTTATTTCTTCAGTTCTTGCCAGAGTTCTTCTACTGACTGGAATACAACAGAGTAAAAATACTAAACAAGGCAAGTTCCTAGGAGGGGGACAGCATTTGGGCACTATCTAAAAGGATGAGGCTTACCAGGACTCTTCTCAGTAAGAGCTTCGTCAAAACCATTTGTTTCTACATTTTGTTTCTGACAAGTCAAATTCAACCATAGCATCAAGTACAACATTAAAATTCTTGATCAATTCTAAGGTACATATATTTGTACCTGATAATTAAATGAAACAGGACAGATTAATTCCATAATCTTTTATAAGAGTGGGTTTATATAAAAGAGCTTTGATGTCTTATTTGAGGGGCTGGTGTTGTATTTCATGTACAGACTATGGAGTTTGTACTTGCTGTCCTACTTAACCCTCAACTGCATACGGCAAGTACAAACATTTATCATCTGACAGCTATTTTGATCACCACAAAGCATGCTCTCAACCATAAACTAAAGGCAAAATGAGTCAACGTCCACAAACAGATTACATCAAGTCAGATGCTTCCAAAAACCATACATGCAGAAGTTGTATTTTCTAAGTTTGGCAAAAAAGACAAAATATAGCGTGAACTTCAGTTCTTCATGATAGCATAAAAGATTCATACTTCCCTTCTCCTGCCTGTAAAGCAAAAGATGAAGGGCACCCTTATAGTTTAAAAATAATAATAATAATAATAATCCCAACAATGAAGTGTCTACATATAGCTGAAACCTATGACAGACTGCTTGATGACTACCACTTAAGCCAGACTTGCCAACTAATTTAGTCACAGCAATTATCCATTCATTATTCTAGTTAGACTACTTGACCTTATTTGCCTGATCTAAAAACTGATTACAATTCCTAGGATTATCGAGTCTGCTGCAGTCCGTTCTCCCTCCCCCATTCCCGAGGGTCTAGACTGCCTAAACACAGGCCAGTATTCTCGGAAAACCCAAGGTCTTAAGGTAGGATGTCAGAATTTATAGACATGACTAATTCCCTAAACCCCTGCCGACCTCGTATTAGGTGCCAAGCCTCTTGGTGCCATTGAACACAGACAAGGGATTGCCATAATGCTCACGTTCAGGAAGTGACCCTGGATCTTGTGCCATTGATCCTCGCTGCCTAAATATAACAGAGTAATTATATATTACTTCAGTTTAACCAGCCATAGTTCACTTTTAAATGATTAAGTTGAAACTTACCAATTTTTTTATTTGTCTCTTTCTTCCCTCTAGAAGGGTGAAAATATGTAGGTAAAATAATTTAAAGTAGTTTTAGCATACTTAAACAACATCTGCCTAAGAAAAAGGTAAGATCTCAATGGAAAAGGGATTAATGGAACTAAACAAAATAGTAATACTAAGTGAAAGACTGCTTTGTAACAAATGCTCTATAGTCTCATAAATAGAAAGGGAACATTTTACAAAGTGTGCATGTTAGCAGTTGCCAAAATAAATCTTTAAGATCTTTTTACCTGATGATCAAATTGGAACAAAATTAAGAATTAGTACAATTGTATCTTCAGAGATACAGGTTTTTGTAGATTTGGGATTAACTCAGTTTTACTTACCTGTCATTCTCATGAGAATCTTCTTGTGAAATCTGTAGAGGTAGAAATGATAATTCACATTCCTCTGGCCTAGAAAAGCATTGATATTTATTATCACGCCAACTAATCACTCCAACTGTTAGACAGATTTCTGTTGAAGTTAAAATGATTCTAAGAAGATGCTGAATATACAAAAACTATCTCCTCTTTAAATTGTTGCAAGGATATATATCACATGGACCTGGCTGCAATTAAGTGGTCAAGATTGGTCTATGTTTTACCACATCTTAATTACTGCATTTTCCTCAAGAAAATGAAAGATATCGGGGAAAAAAAAAAAAAACAGTTGTTGCATACTTGAGATTTGCCAGGGTTTTGATAAAAGCAAAATCCTTCCGCTGATTAGAGGGCATCCAACGGTGCTTTTCGGCCAAAGCTAGAGTCCTTGCACCAAAACCAAACATAGCCGAGAACCCAAAACGTAAAAGCTTGCTTGGAGTACTAAAAGTGCACACATCGACTGGTTGAACATGTCCTAAAATTTTAAAGATAAGCATCAGAAATTATAAACGTGTATTTCAAACAATGTAACTTATGATCTCCTTTCCCCCTATTTTAACTGAGAAGGTCCAGACTCTTTTCCATTTAGAAAGTCAGGTTTTACCAAAGAAAACTGGAATGAACTTAGATGCAATTAAGGCTCTAAAAATAACAAAGAACAGTGTTCAGATGCTTCAAAACATTAAAGTTAAAATTTCTATGACCAAAATCCAGCTGCTCTGTCAGATCAGATGTGGTCTGACTTTTAATTACTGCTCAAATTTTCAAAAACCAGTATCAGAGAAAATGTACTATTGCTACGCAAATACTTGCAAAGTTTCCCAAATATTTGTGAGAGCTAAACTTTCTGCTGATTGGACTTTTAGCAACAACACATTTTACATATTTCACTGGAGGAGTTGCAGAGACTCTTAAATATAAGCTTCAAATGTATTTATTTTTACAATTATGGAATTTAAACATCTAATTCTGTTCAAGACAGCATATATAAAATTGAACAACAACTTTATTCAATAGAACCTCTGGTTTCCATTAGATTGAGTGCGTCTGAATAAAAGAGAGACAGTTTTAGATTTTGCACGTAAAGGCATCTGCATTGCTATCTAAAAAACAGAGCAATGACTCTTCCATTGCTGACTGTGAAGTCTAGAAAGTAGATGCTCAAGATGAAACTACCTTCCCCATTATCCTCTTTTCATTAAAAATAAATGTACCAAACAAAAATTGCTTTAAGAGGAACATTAACATTGCTCAGCTAAGTATTTCCTAAGTACTGAAACAAAGCTTTGCATCGACAACCTAGTTTTTTTTTTTTTTTTTTTTTTTTTTTTTTTTTTTTTTTTTTTTTTTTTTTTTGCTTTTGGCACAGTTACATTTTCACATTCAAAAACCTACTTGTTGCGCAGACTGAATGGCAAGTGATACAATTTTTCTGCTAATAAAGATTCCCAATGGAATTTGTTGGTATTTAAGAGAAATGCGTATGGAGATCAAGAGGTAAGTGACACCTTCTCAGAAATACGTCAATACTTCCCTGAAGAGTCCAAACCTAACCACTTTCTCAAGCATAGTATTGCATACTTTTCTGTTTTCTGCAGGCACTTAAATTAAAACAATCAGATGATTATGCAACAACCATTGCATAAAAACCACAGAGTAACACTCTTCGCACAACCAAGTCTGGCAAAGATTACTTTTTATATTAAAGGAACATCAATAATAGGGCATTAATGCCAAAATCAGACATGATTCCACAGCAGATTTTTGTTACCAGAAGACAAAGTTCACACTCTGTATACTTGAGGAATCATAACCTTTCAGATACGCTATAAATCAGAAGTAGAATCTTTTGAGTTTAAAAGTCCAGCAATATACAGTTTACCATGATAAAGCATAATGCTATGTTTTTATTTAAAAAGTAGTTATCTGCTTTCAAGGCAAACTTTTAAAGGCTGACTCATTATTTAAAATTTGATAGTGTATGTAAAAATATTTACCCATTACAATGTGCAGTGTTGCAGTCACTGGGTGACTAATACCGTTGAGCGTGTGGGCCAAAATATTAGTAGTACCTGTAAAAGTGAACACAAACTATTGTAAAAATAAGAATGGCACACAATAGCAAACAAGAATTAAAATAGAAAAAATATATTTCAAAGGTTTGAATGAAGGATCTGAGATATTTACTGCATTTTCAACCAAAAAAAAAAAGCAGCACAGCTCAGATTTAGTCTTGGTAACAGAAGAAATGCTGTAAAATTAAAACCATTCAGACCTCCATAGGCATACCAAATCCTCTCCACAAATTCATTAAAAACAAATGCCATCAGCCAACAAAATTCTACTTGATCCATTCAAAAACAGTTGTTTTGCCTCGTGCAGACTACATTTTATTTTCTTAGAAACTACAGTGAATAAAATTAGTTGATTGTTATACACTGGTTTTACACACAAGAACAAGCTAATGATTAAGGGGGTTAAAAAAACAGAGGACGTAGAATTACCGGCTTTCATTCAACACATTAAAATTGACTGCTCCGACTCATCTTTGTCACTGCCTGGACCACTGGGAGATCGCTCGTACTCCTACCCGCTGGACAGAGATCAGTTTTGAAACAAGCGTAGGAACGGAGTTGGAAGACAGAATGGAAAATGAGCTGTCAGTAGGCTAGGAAAAAATAGCACGGTTCTGAAGACCCACGTTTGGTGGCGCTTGACTGATGTGCAAGTCACTTCCGTACAAGAAACATGGGTATACGTGTAAATTTTACCCATCTGCTCTAATTTATAGGCCATAAAATACTGTGCATCAGCTGACTTTTAGATACTGCCTTATTTTAAAAATCCTGGTCTGCAGATCAGTGAGATAGTTGTCTCTTTCCTAAACGGGTATAGCTTTTAAACAGAATTTCAAGTTGAATTCTGTCATTGGTAAGAAACGCCAGAGATGTGATCAAAGTAGCAGGGCCACAGGATTCACTTTCATAGAAGTAAAGAGCCAGCATAGCATCTGTCACCAAGAAAGCACAATATTCAGACCTGCTTTGTATCACTGAATAAGGCATGAAACACGCACTAAAAGATTAATTAGAATGATAACAATTGCCAATGAAAGAGTTTGAACTCATTCCTTTATGGGACGCTAGGTTCTTACTCATATTTTCATATCATTTTCTTATTTCTTGAAGTATCGAATGTTACAGCAGCAATAGACAACTCCGTATGCTAAATTTGCCTTAAGTTTTATGGAAACATTTAGCCTGGCTGTAAGAAGGTGAGGAGGGGTGTCAGGGGGGGATCACATTTCAAACAAGCAGCACTCAATATTTAAATAAGCAGTTTAAAAGCATCATATACTATAATAAAAAGTTACGTTCATCACAAAACTCTGCTACAGTTGATGTCGTGTTAGTGAGGCATCTTCTCATTCTTTTTCAGTCATATGTGCTTTGAGTTTTGTAGTAATTTCTCTGAGCAAGATTTTGGAAAATAACTGGGAGCTGTATCTTGCAGAGTGCCTGACACATCACCTTAGCCTTTGAAAGTAGTTCAGAACGCTTGAACCGCACAGAAAGCCGCCAGAACACCAGAGAGGGGAGCTGAGTAAGGACCTCAGGGTTCCTACTACGTAAAGGAAATAAGTGAGGTACATGCACTACGATAACCAGCATAAAAAAACACTCTTTGAAGTTTGTCTTCTGTGGTACGTGCAAGGAATCAGATGATGTGCATACGGAAGTTACGCGCAGATAATCATCAGCTCGCACAGTCCATTTTTATTTTTTGAATAATTCAAAAAGAAATATAATCTACTTAATGTAATCTATTTCTAAAAATTTTAGAGGTGCTTATATTAATATCTTTTTTTTAAAAAAAAAAAAGAAAAAATGCTCAAGAAAATCCAGCAAATTGGGATTGTGAAATACTTTGAGAGCAACGGAAATCAGCAGGTTCAAAGGCAAAAAGTCTGCTTTTTCCCCCAAAAGAAAGTCTCTCTAAATATGGAGAACGCTAACACAAAGTGCAGTTTATTAAGAATACTATAATTTCAATGATTTATATTCAACAATTCTGCTAAAAGCATTTTTTCATATTATTTGAATTTTCCTTTCTGTACAACAAGCATAATAATGCAAGTCATAATTCTAATTGTAGATGTTATTTAATATGCAAACAGGTAAGCTTTTCAACTCAGCGACTATAAAAATACAGTTCTATACAGAAAGTGTTGAGACAAAAGAGTCTGAATAATTTTAGCTTTGATCTAAAAAGCATTTCTTTACAGACTAATTGCCCAACACCCCTTTCACATTTAGAAGACTCATGACATCTAACCTCTGGATTCAAGTAATTTTGCTTAGCCAGTGAAATAGCTCAAAAGTATCTCCTTGGATCATACTTTTGCAACTCTAATCAACTTTTATAGGAACCTCAATTTTAAAAAGAGAGTGAGAACGTTGGAATAAAAACCCCCTCTCTCCAAAAATGCAGAGAAACGAAGATGCACAATCACAAACGACGCAGATTATTAGAAGTCATGCACATCGCGTTTACTTGCTGTAAGCTGACAACAGGGAAGCTTTCATTCTGAAGGGGGAAAAAAAAACCCTATGTCACCCAAGATTAAGCTAATATAAAGGAGTACAGGGTAAAAAACACTTCTGAAGATCAGGCTCAGTATGTCTTAAAACTGGGACTTCTCATTTAAGCAACAACAGTTTTTCAATACAGACAACAAAGAGGAAACAAATGACCAGGGCTGAAGTCAATACCAGTCTTCATACTGACTTTAATGAGAATTAAATCTCATTCATACTAAACGCAATAGGCACAAGTAATCGCAGCCTTCTCGCAGGTCTGTGGAGCTCATTCACGTGTGCAGAAGCAAACAAGACAGAGATCTGCCCTTTCCTGGCCCCTGAGAAGACAAAACAAGCTCCCCTCTGCGTTTAAAAACCTAAGCACTGCACTCAGAAAGAGCCTTTCCCCAGGCAGCAAGTCTCAAGTGAGCACAGTTATGCTGTGGCAGCACCGTCACCTTCTCTAGAAGAAGTCACACGCGTGCAGCGCGGCACGCCGGCCCCCACAGCGACCAAGTAACCCGTTACAGTCTCGTCACCTAGGTCCTTTACACATTGGAAGCCATAAAAAAGCTTGCAGACAGAGTCAAAACCATGCAAGTTAACATGCAGAAGACATGCTGGAAGACAAACTTTGCAGATTTAATTTTTTAAAACATTATTCATTTTCCTAAGTCACCTGAACTTTTCTCTCCTCTACATAAACCTGGGATACTGTTTACCAGCCACAAGACGGTTCCCTTGAATCTTATCATATTATTATGGGGACTAAAAGGCATTTTTTGATGTTCATGTATGTGCTCACAACGTAAAAACAGTATAAAAACCATACAACTCCAACATCTCCCTCACCGGTATATATTTCAACAGAAAAAATACTTTATTATTCCAATAATATAATTCTGTTTGAAAAATTAACCCGTTAACCTATTTTCTTGACATTACAAACAACTTCCCGCAACCTCCTTCCTATGAAACGTGCAAAAGCATCACAGTAAGGACAAAGTATCTGCAGGTCAGGAGACGTGCGACTGAGGAAGGCACCCGGCAGAAACCGGGGCGGGGGGGGGGGGGGGGGGGGGGGGCCGGAAATGCACGCACTTCTGCGGTACAATTAACTTAATTAACCAGGCAACATGAATATTCATAAGGCTGTTAATGTCTCCCCCATCCAAACAGATAAATGTGATGTAATGACTTCCTAGTCAAGCATATCTAAAATTCTGATGAGAACTGCACCAACATTTTGGTTCTTTGCCTGAAATACCACAGAAATTAACCGTCCCTCAGTAATACTTTGTTTTTGAATTAATTGGAAATCACGAATTTATTTAAATGAACCGTTTAGGAGTAAAAGGTTCACAGCCATCAGATACAGATTGTCTCTTGTTCTGTAAGGACTGGATAGCTTTTTTTAATGTCCTTCCAGCTCCCCCTCCCCTCGGGGCGATCCCCCCTCAGCACGGTTTCTGAGCAGCAGTTCCCATAGCACCAGCCGCTACTGCTCAGGGCCAGCAGTAGCGCTGCAGGCTTCCCCCGCCTGATGCAGCCCGCGTTGACCGCGGCAGGGCGGCTCGCTCCGCCAGCGCAGTACGGCTTCCCAGGAAAAACACGCTCCCCTTCGGACCCTTCTGCTCGGCAGGCAACCCGCTTCGAAAGCGGCTCCTTCTCACCGAGCCGGCTGAAACTTCAACGTTGCTGTTTTGACTGCTTGTAACAGCGGCCAAAACCCAGATTTTAATCCATTCAAATAACACAATCCTATAATACAGCTTCTATTCTCGCTCAACTAGAAAATCTTAATATTTAGTATAATGGATTTCTGGAGGAAAAAAGATTGACATTTAAGTTGCATCTTGTTCCATATACACAAATATCATACTTACCTGTTTCTACACGATGACTTTTGGATAACTGTCATCCAAATAAAATAAGCTTAAAGCTCACTGCATTGGTTAAGAAGTTTCTCACGCTACTATTATAGGCATTGGTCTCATCATCTTGTAATGAAGACTGCTTCCAACTATATGATATATGGCATTCTTTTCGGTGTACATATCTTTCTTGATCATGGCACGTTTTAGTATTAACCTGAAGGGTATAATTACTGATGAAGAGGAGCAGCGAAGTAAGCCCACCCAAAGAGCATGGAGCCAGGGCTGGAGAGATTCCATGTCACACCACCACCGAGACGTTCACAGCAACTGAACACACAAGTGAAGGTCAAACTGCTGGCTTAAAATTCATTTGCTTCACCTTTTTGAGATCATTACACTGAACAATTTTCCATGCTTAACTTGAAAAAACCTGGGATAATCTTGCATTTTACAATTACTGCTTGTTTTAATTATGCCTCTAGAAGTGTTTCATTGTTGCGTGCAATCTGTAAAGCAAAGCAAGTCAGAGCACCTAAAGAACCGCAACTCCTTGCCAAGTTTGGAGTGACTTGCTTAATTTTTTTTGTAGCAAACTGAAAAGAATGATTTGCTGTTCACCTGGCTGCAGGGGTTGTTCCCTTCCTAGCTGAAAACATCTGAAAGATTACAAAATAAGTGCATCAACATCCATACCAGAAGAGACTGCCCATGCAAAGACACCCCTCCTCTTTTATGAGAGCAATTCAGACACCAGGGCGGAATTATCCCTGCCTGTATCTATACCAGATAAGCTTCTCTGCCCAGTTCAACTTATACTCTGAGAAGGGCAAGACAAATTGTGAGGAAAACAAAACAGAAAACAAGATATGAGTTAATGAAATCAGGCAACACAATAAGAAAAGAGGGAAAAGATTTTTTTTAAAAAAAGATGCTGTTTCAGGCCCACAGAATGCAGCTTTGTGTGCTTAGTACTTTTTCCTATATAATCCACAAAAGATATCCCTGGAACACCATTTATAAATAGACCCAAACCACGAATCCAACAGAGAATCTGCCAAGAAACTGGAGGGAGAAGAGAACAAGGACTTACATGAAGGAAATTCTACAAAATATGAAATTTACATTTGGTATGATTTACGCCAGCAAATAAGGGCAAAACTTGCTGCTCTCTACATAGATCAACTAAAGAGAATTCTAGTTTTCTTCTTCCAGAGTTTCTTCCTTTATGTAAGGAACTCATCTGTGCCATTAAATCATAAATTCTAATGATTTAAAGTCAAGTCATCCGTAATCATTCTAAATCACTAATTTAGGTGATTTACTCAATAGCTCCCTTACATAACTGAAGCTCCAGTAGCCTTAGTAGCCAAACTACAAAATATGCCAGAGGGATTTAAAACAGATGATTAACAAAATGCAATGGTACCTTTTTGCCTCACCTGCTGGTATTACTCCAAGAGGAAGCGGTGCTCTGACAGGTGTGAGTACGTAGTCTGTGCCTTTTCCAGCATCTAGCTGGGCTTTAAGTAGTAGACCATGAGCAACTTCACTGACAGATCCATCTCCACCAACACAAACCACCCTATTACAAAACAAGGATGCTAAGCAGTGCAAGGTAAGTTGTTTCACAGCTGTCCAAACAAATGAAAGACAGCTGTCACATACCATCTACATAACAATATTTCAGATAGCTAAAAACCATTCTGTTCTTTAAAAATAAGTTAGGGCTTCACTTTCACATCAGTGAACCTTAACTAACAAAACATAAGCATCCTTATTTCTGCCTTCTACTGAGTAGAAGTAAGTATATTTAAAAACTTACCTGTATCACACGTTATGTAAAACATACGTAAGAGCACTGAACACTGCAGCCAAAGAACTAATTAGAGTAGAGTTAAGCATGTGCTCAAGTGCTTCAGTGTGAAAGTTCTTTAAATCTTACGATACTGACCCATACAGGCTTTCCACTGTTTAACTGCCGTTCTAATAACAAGGCAAATATTACGACAAAACTAAAAACACTTTGAAGACAGCTAATCCCACACGCCATGCAGGCAGTGGAGGGATTTAGCAAGGTATAAAAGCCTAGTACCAGCAATCTTGTGCAGGAAGGTACTTAATCATTGCTTCTGGAGCATGTAATTAAACTCCCACCTGCTACAGCTCTACAGAGGAATGCATTTATCTGTAAAAGCTCTGTAACAGCCAGTGTCTTTTTTTCCTGTTGTTATTTATTTGCTTTAAGTAACTATTAAGTGATTCTCCCAATCACTATGTATGAAAGTTAATGGTTTTTCTAAATAGGTCAGGTTTACTTCAGAAGATGTTTACTTAAAAATCTCATAAATCTGAATGTGGTTGTGAAACTGTGTCCAATAATTCAGCCAGATAAAACTGGTAAGCTCTTTTTAAGAAAATATTCATCGTGTTATTACATTGGATCACCTCAGCTTCTGTGATATTTTTCTTCAGTTCCTATTATTTCTTCCCAATTACTACTTCATTTCTAAATTTTTAGCAGTATTGTCTCTTCTTTCTAGCTAAACACAAAAAACATCAAAAAGGTAAGACAAAACAAAAGTTCGGAGCACATTCTTTTCCTGCTTGTTAACAGTAGTCTCCTGTTGTTTGTCTCATTTTTGGTTTAGTTATAGTTTGATACCGAAGTTTAAAAGTCTGTGGCACTGCAGCAAACCCAGAAGTCTTTGTAAGCTGGTAAACTGTCCACCTAGAGAGAATTAATGTTTTTGAAAATGGATATATTTTATTCCGATTTTGGGGGGTTGTGTTTGTTGTTGTTGAAAACAGATCCAGAGTCAGAGGAATAACTACAACAAAAAACGATGCTCACTAGTTTTTATTAATTTAACATTAATCTTGCCTTTTTGGGCAGAATTAGAGATGCGGCCAGGGACTGGGGATTCCAAAGCTAATCAGCCTGAACCTGTTACACACAAACAGCTGAAAGCCTTGAGCAGACACATTTGAGTAAGACCTTTAAGACAGTTCCTTAGGGAAACAAGCATCTGACTAACCATCAGATAACAAGTTTTTTAATCAACTGGGCACTAGAGTCTGTCTAACTTGATATACTCCTTTAGAGAAATCCATAATACTTCAGGCTCCTGACTATAGAGAAAATCCATGCGTGCAGATTGCATATTTCTGTCACAGTGCAAACCAGCAAACGCAGCTGGAATAGCAGCATCGCCAATGCACTCTCCCTATTCTCCACCAAGGTGAGGCACTACAGTGCCCTATGATCTTGCAAAACCTAGTGGGAGCTGGAGAAACTGGAGACATCAAATAGAAACCAGTCAGCAATAGCACTGACAATATCTACAATAACTTCAAAAATTAAAACTTAACAGTATTACTTACACAGAGCACTGAGATATAAATATAAACTTACAATTTTACTACTGCAAGTAGTAACCTTCCAATCGACTTCTGTTTAACATGCAAAGAATCACAACTCTTTCAGAGTGAAATTCAGGATTGGCAAATGTTTTTTGCTGTACAGCTCACCTATCGTAAACAATAAAAACCAGTTGTGCCTTGCCTTTTATATACTTAATTGAAATAGTTTTTCAGGCAATCTGAAATGGACAACACTTCAAAAGCAGGAGCTCAGTTCGAACAGCAGAGTAGTACCTGCACGCGTGGCCTTTAAACCTGACCAACCCACCTCCAGTCACCTGGAGCTTTGGCAGAGCAGGTCAGGTCCATCTGTACGGTGCCACGCAGAAGTAGCACAAATAAGTCATCTCACCTTTTACCATAGCATATAGTACCTTATGTGTTTAACAGGAGGTACAGAAGTGCTATTCTTCCATTTTATAAACAGGAAACTACATGATAGACAGTAGCTGATTTGAACAAAGATACACTGGAGCCAGGGGAAAATAGGAAAGAACTTAAGTTCGCCAGGTCACAAGCAGCACTCTGGCCGAGAGCCAAGAAGAATCAAGTCTGCAGAAGATTAATAGAAATAGTGAAAAAAAACATTACATCGGGTAGTTGCCTGAATCAGCTAAAAGCATGAATTTTCATCACTACAACAAATCATTTTTGTGGAATTTTTTTTTCAATTCAAATCAGATGCCATATATTTTCTAATTTAAAAAAAAAAATAATTAAAATTTTACTTGGGAATGACTGAGGGTTTTTGGGCCTATAAGGTTCTTCGACAGTCATATGAGAGGTCTTCCTAGGAACTGTCACAAGATTGGGAATCCTGTATTTCTGGGATTAATAGAGATATCGAGAGCTCACTCTGGAGAGAAACTCAGATTTCTATCAGAACCATGATTTCAAATGTAAATAACCATCACAAACTGTGTATGAAATGATTCAGGCTGAGAGTTGAATTTTCAGGTGAACCTTGGTGGAAGATTTGTGGATAGACTTCCTACCCCTCACCAAAAGGAAAAAAAATCTGAGGGCTTCTCTAAGTATTTGTAATTGGCACTGAAGATGCACAAAATTAGAGGTGAATTTTAATACTTGCAGCTCAAACTGACAAGAGAGTCAAAGTACTTCTTCAGAAGCACCTTCCCTGTGTAGATAATGGGGGGAGAAAAAAAAAAAGTCCCGATTGCAGATATTCTCCTCCTATTCTTAAAAGCAACTCTAAAAGATACCACAGAAGAGACAATTAGTGATATTTTTAGCTTTCTTTTCCAAAGCGTCAGCCCTTTATCATAATATGAACACTGACCTAATCCTATCAGACACTGTAGATTTAACCTGGATATAGCAATTCAGGACATCTCTAGGTACAATGTAAAGAATTACCCTTGCATCTCATCTTCCCAATGATCTTATATAAAGAAAAAAAAATCCCAAGTTAAATATTTAATACATAAAACAGTACAGAAAATGATTCTTTTCAAACAAGTACATAGATGAAAGCCAAGCTTTTTTGGAAAATATAAAACTCCTTTTTAGAACACTTTGAGAATTGCATTTTTGCTTTTAACTTGTGATAATAAAACATAGTTAATTGCCACATTAAAAAAAAAAAAGCCACTAATAGGAGAAGACCAAAAATAGCTCTCTTCTCAAAGCTCTCCCTAACCCCTGACCTGTTTTTAAATCAGCTAACTTAGAAAGGGCAGGAATTTTTTCACCTCAGAAATCCTAGCATAACTTTGACTTGGGGTTATTTTCTTCCAGCTTCTTCTGTTCCTCTTTGCCTTTAGTTCTGGCTACTAGAGGTAAGTCCTGCAGGAGAACTACTCCAAGGATTTTACCCAATGGTAGAAGACTAAACAAACAAAACATGACTCAGAGGAGAAGGGACTCATGCAAGAAAATACAGTGCAGGCTTTTTCCTCTCTGTCTTTATATCTGCTTCCCAGGAAAAACCAGTTCCCCAAACATTGCTCCAAAAGGCCTGTCTTAAAATAAATTATTCTCAGAATGTGGAATACATATTTACATTTTCAAATGTACTTGCTCACCTCACTTTATAAGAAAGACAGTTCTAGAACTTCTAGAACTAGGTTAGGTTTTTTAAAACACTATTTAAACCTTATCATGTGGCCTACTGCACTTAAAAAAATAAGGAAAACAAACATTTAAATAACAGTTGTAGCAACTGCTGTTAAGGCTTCCACGGTACACAAAACTATTCTTACTTATTATTGAATCTGCTCCCATTAATGTAATGCAACAACCCACACCTACACACACAAAAAACCACCACACTCACACTCTTCAAAGATTGCAGGATTGATCCATATAGCTGCATTTTTTAAAATGACTGAGCATGCAATTCCATTCTTGATTTCCAGTAAGTTTGAATGTTCCTTTTGGTCTTTTTTTTAATTTTTTTTTTAAAGAAGATATTCAAGTTACTTTTAAATAAAACACTCTGCTTCAATCCATCTATGCAAATAGCTTTTAAGGAGAGTGCACTTCTGTCATTCTTGCACATATGGAGGCCAAAGTTTTCATGAAATATGTTGAAGAAAGCTGTATGTTTATTAACTGTTTTTCAAGAATCAGATATACATACCTATTTGTCAGTAAATAATAACTATTAAAAACAAAAAAATAAAAAAACACCACCACAATGTCTAATGGGAACTACTTTTCCCAGTCTTAATATATACCTGAAACAGTAACTCATGAAACATCTACTGGCATAGTTCAGGGCAGAATACAAACAAAAGCTGATGCTATGTGATTCATTACCATTCATTACCAGTAACCAACTTACCCATCAAATGCCCGGAGTTCACATTTTTTAAGCACTGAAAGAGCATGTCCTTCATATTCAGTTACTGTGGAAAATAACATTATTTAAGTATCAGAAGAATAGGTAACTTAAGAGCTTTTATTTTTGTCCTTCTAAAACAAGGAATATGCATTAATTCAGTTCATAATTTTCTTTTGATCATTAAATGGGTTGAAAGGAAGGCATGCATATTTTCCTCCCACATTAAAAAAAAAGACATGATATTAATACTTAGCTGACACGAAACATGGCTACTTGGTGCATTTAAATTTAGAGAATTAAAGAAAGTGTGTGTTGTATCAAAATAGAAGTTTAAGCATTTTTATAGTCGGTAAACTTTAGGAAAACGTATGCCCATCCTCAGTTAAGATTGAAATATTTCAGTATCAGTCAAATTTAATTGCCTTTGTGTTAGGATATGCAAATTGCTAAATCAAAAAATATGAGGAGTTAAACACAGAAGTATGAAATCAAGCCAAATACCAGTGACAACAGAACATAACACACAGAGGAAGGTGGCACAAGTATACACCAGAGTTCATAGCCTCTGGAGGAAACGAATCTGTCACTCTACATCGACGTCTCCGTGTTTGTTGATACCCCATGTAGTACTGTAAATGCCAGTGAAGGCAGGATAAACTGGCATACTACAGATGGCACAAAGCATCATAACTACATTTAGCATTTTCTAGGCCAGCTTTGCCAGAAGAGACAGCCCAGCTGCATCCACCCATCAAAGATTTTTGCTGACTGACATGACACTTGCAGATGGATTTTTTGTGTAAGAATGTGCATCATTATATGCAAAATTACATTAATCTTTCATGCTTGTCTGTCCCTGGTGCTAGCATATTTCAAGCCTTTTCTCTAGTGTTTCTAAATACTGTTAAAATTATTAGCCTTGGTGTCTAAAACAATCATTCTGTCTCTGTACCTGTTACAATGTAGTATTTCTACCTACTATTCAAATGTTGCTTACAAGAATGGAAAACACTTAACACATTCATTTTGTGCGTGCGTGTGTGTGTGTAAGTGTTATCTATAGAACATTCTCCAATATCAATGATTTTCTGTAAAAAAAAATATATATATATATGAAACAAAAGTGATACATCTAGCTACGCTTTTCCACAGTATATAACTGTGCATCAGCAGATAACTTTAAAATCTCCCAAACTGCATTAACAAAGTCCTAGTAGCATTTGGTATTCTGGAAACTCTTAAGTAAAAATTAGAGTTAGTTTGATACCAAAGTTAGATAATTATCATTTTGCTAAAGAAATACCTATCAGTAAAATAGCTTTCAGGAATTATTTACAGAATTGCTTTCATGCAAGACCTCTTCTGAATGACAGGACAGTATTTAAGGTATCACAGTATTCTGCTTTGCTTTTAGAGATGGGAAACTAACCCTTAGCAGTTAATTGTAGCATGTGAAAAAAGTGACTGATAAAACTTTATATTGCGTATTTGTACTGTGTAAATTCAGGAAGGTTGAAACATCTTACCGTTATGTTACTATAAAAGAAAATCCTCCCATGAAAACATACAGTCGGTAACCAAATTACATTGTACTCATAACTAAGTGTCATTATGATCATTTAGAAAGAAACAATTAAAATGGTACAGTAAATATTTTATTTTGTAAAAGAAAACATGCTCAGAGGCAAATTATAGCAGAAAAATATTTCCTAAGGCTTTTTTCCAGCCATTTCTAATGCCAACTGTAATTGAAAAGCTTTCTTCTTTTCATAGACCTTTTGTAACTGAATTCTAAGTTATAACACGCATATGAAGTCTCAGTAACAACCTGAAGATACACTGTCACTTCCCTTCTTTATCTGAACAGAGAGTCATGTAATCCAAAACGTTATAACCCCGTATCTCATGCAGCCAACATAGAACTAAAAGTTTAGTCCCTACATAAAGGTAGGGAAAAACAACATATAATTAGTTCAACTCTTCCAAACATGGGACAGTTCCATACGATATGGATGGCTACTGGCGCTCTGGTCACTGACTAATGCCAACAGGATTGAAACCACTAATGAGAACAACAGATTAACTGGTGTTAACGCTTGCAGGAAAAAATATGTATGTATAGCAAGTTTAAACTGATGTTGTTGGCCCAAGTTCTGAATGATTCTGTTTTCTTTTGAGACTCTGTCTTAAAAGTAGGGGAGGAAGACAGCTATTGCTTTTGCTTAGACTTCCAGCTTATTGCTGTGCATAAACGGGAGCAGAAGACTCAAAATGGGGAAGAGAAGTGAGACAGCTTCTTTTGACAGCTAAGAGCCAGTTGAGGTTACCTTATTTATTTTTCTTGAGTTCATGTTGAGACTTAGCAAGATTGTCATATATTTCTAAAACACTGGCTCCAATTATCAGTATTTGTCTGTACTTTTAGGCATCCCAAATTTAAAGCAAGTTGAACTTGATTTTCAGAAAAGTTCACTATTCTTCCCCTAAAAGCTATATCCCAGTTGCAGTGTCCAAAACTGCCAAACTCTTAAAAGACTGTAAAAATACCAATTTGGAAAAGTTGCTTAGTCTCTTAACTGAAGTCCTGTAATTACTTCACAGATTTAATTTTGTTAATTCCCATTTTCTATTGCATTGAGTGCTTCAGGGATTTGTATTTTTTCCATGTAACTTAAAACCTGTGTTTAATATCACTACTAAAATTAGAAGTCTATACATTTGGAGTGTGCAAAATAATTCAGCACAAAAATACCAATATTAAAAAGTAAGATGATTAGGGAAGGCAAATACTACTTCAAAACTCATTCGTTAACTTATATGCCTTCTGACTGCTGTATACTCTTGTGTAAGAGGGAACATCACTACACCAAACTTGTAAAAACATCTTATTTCAACAAAAGTTGAAATGAAAAATAAGCTCTGGCAAGCTTTATCATGTAGGAACTAAAAATATTAAATAGTAATATCAGTCAGCTACTAAAATACAAGATTGGATGAAGAGAGTTCTGTATTTCAGCACTCCAGTGTCAAAGAATTTTTTTTAAGTAACCTTTAAGCCTTGCATTGTGTATGTGCTTGAAGTTGCTTCAGAGATTCAGATTTGAATTATGATTTTTGTGTACAATGAGGTTGCAGTTTTAAGGATGCATACATGTAAAGTCTAAAAGTAGAAAGAGTCTTTAGCATAAAGACTGTATAGTGAAAGCCTTCAATTTCTAAAGCTAATACACCTTTGTGCAGCACTGCATATGTACATACCGGTAATCTGTTCTGAAAGTTTGTCATAGTGACACCCCAACTTCACAAACAGAATCCAAAACAATTAAGGGAGGAAAAAAACATTCAATTTACTTGAAATGAGTCACTACTTAGTTTTATTAGAAGAGGGTAACAGTGAACTTTTTTTTATTACGTAGTTCATAATTACGTACTTCTCCACGAGCACTTAAAACTAGTGTAGTTTTCTCATTTTGCCTGTAGGAGGAGTGTTAGGCAGCTAATAAGCATAGTGGTATTATTAAAATAAGGTTATTTTGGCAATATCCGAAGCCTTTAAACATTTACCTGGCTAAAATCAGAAGTTTCTTTTCAAAATCAAAAAGAAATAAGCTTTAAGCTGTTTTTATTCGTTTACAAAAAATGTTTTTAAAACTATATTCGTCATTTATATTAAATTATATGTATCAATCTATAAAACTATTACTAAAGATTTGGCTTGTTATTTCAGCTTTAAGATTCCAGCTGACATTACACAGCCAAAAGGGTAACGTTATACATGTTGATGATAATGCTGCCTTTAAAAAAGTTTAAAAACAAGATTATGTCCACAGTAAAAATATTAAAAACCCATTAACTAGTAGTAGGGAAACAGAAGATGGGTAATGTTTTTTTTTTAAAAGTTACTTCAAATAGAATAGCTAATTTTAAACTATGACATATCCTGAGTCAGTCTTCTCTTACTCAGTTTTGCACCGCTAAAACTGTGACCAGACAAGGCTACATGCAATCCCTAAGAAGGCAGCATTATTATTAATCTGCTTACACCATCATCTGTGTTTGCAGGTGAAATATAGGTCCAGTCAACATTTAAAACTTCTACAAAGCTGCCGACATTCCCTGGTCTCTTCTCTGTCAACAAAAAACAAACAAACAAAAACCCCCACAAACTCCCAAAAATCTGCAATTAAGAAATTACCACTATAATTCTAAGAGAGACTGAATTCCTTGTCATGCTTGTACTTACGTGTCAATCTTTAATCTTCCAAAATTTCATGTAAAATCAATGGGCTAAATAATTTTAATATACACGTTCAGATACTAAAATTAGCAAATTAAATTTCATATACAAACACTTGTGGCTTACTATATTTTCATTCCTAAATCAGATTTGCTCAGAACAATTTTTGGCCTGTTAACTCAACAAGTCACGATTTCATAAGTTTAGGGGACAACTATAGGATTGCCCATCTGACTTATACTTTGTCTAAGCCAAAACTGATGATTTTTCAAACGACTTACAACAGATATAAGAAAGTCTTTTTAGTTAAAACATCTTGTACCAAAGAGTTTATACTTCACACGGATATGAAATACATAACCTCAGAGTAACAGCAGTATTCCGCAGAATCAGAACTTCGGCAGAAATTTGGGCCTTAAATCCAAACCCGCTATCTGGAATCATTGCTGATCAGAGGATAACCTCACTAGCGCATTAAACCTATACCATAGTGTTCTCCAGACACTGGCTTGTGCCACTGCACCTCATGAGAGCTACCCTTGTCATGACAGGGCTTAATCAGCTGGGCTTCTAGGCTATACCTGAAACGCAGCCAGAATCCAGAAATAACGTATTCTTCAGATAAGCCCCAGTCATGCTGTCAGAACAACAGATATTCTCAGAGGAGAAGTAATACACTTGGAGAACACGGTTGATGAAAAATGCAGTTGCATCATGCAACTAAAGGGTCTGCCCAAGTAAGAATAAAGAAAACTGTCTCCTTTACACAGTAGCCTACTGGCTATTTCTGTTGCCAGCAGAGTCAGTGATACGAGCTGAACTCCCTCTTCCACCACATTTACTTATCTCTCAGAAAAGTGCCACAGCCAGGAAGCTATGGCTAAAGGCTTTTTCCTGCCTCTATCCACTTTCCAACCTGGAATTCAGATTATTGGGTCCAGAGAAAAGAAAATGTTCACAAACATGAAAGTGTTCTACAGTCCAAGAGACCATGCTAAGTGGGACATGCAGACCCAAATCTTCCAGGAGTTAAAAGACTGAACTCCAGCCCTTTACCCACTTCTGTGGACAGAGCCCTAAATACTAAGAAAGGCCCTGAATACATGAAGAAAGGACCTAGCCATAACTCCTCTTTTCTTCCCTTGGCATTGTTTTCAAAGAAGCAAGTCGTCTTTTGTCCATAGTTAACACTACTTGTTCACTGCAGTTACTAATCTCGTGTAAGAGAGCAAGGTAATTTTTCAAAGTTCTATCATTTTGTGTTAAATTAGTACCAGGTGTCAGTCACTAACTTATAAGGAAAGCAAGTCAGACTTTCAGAAGGAGCCAAGCAACAAATCCCAGTTGTGCACAGGATTAAACAGCCTTACTTCCACACTTGTCCCACTAAAGAGACAAGGGAGTGCTAAAGGCCCACCCTTGGCTACTTCTAGGTGCAGCATACGAGGCAATCTAGGTCAGGGCTGTGGAGCTCTCCTATGTACAGTGTATAGATAAAAGTGCCTAGAACAGGGGTCTGTATTTCATTCTATTGGCAAAAATACTTTAAAGTTATCAGACTTGGCCCTATGTTGTTCTTAAGTGGAAGTCTTTGTATTATCTGATTATTTGTAAATACATTGTCTAGACTAAACAGGATTAAGGTTTGCCTTTTCCTGCCAGGGCCTGCAATAGCATATACTAAGCTCTTTTCCTCCTGTATTCTAGGATACTGCTCTAGAGAAAAGAGGAGCAGAAGAGACAAAGGACTTGTTGTTTTCCCTTCTCCTTTTCTTCAGAGCCATAGGAAAAACGATCTAGGTACTCTGCCAGCAGAAGTTTCCTTGAGTTTAAAAAAACGCTCAGAATAAGAGATGGATGTGGTAAAGAAGAAACTAGAAAGCTAACTAAGTTGCTGAAATCTTTCCAAAAGCAGAGGAATAACAAAGTCCTTTACAGTTGCCCAGTGCCCTCAAGCCCAACGCTTAAGGGCCCAAGGACCTAAGCAAGCATATAACACTTTTGAAAAACCTTAACGTTTGCAAAGAAACACCACAATAGGAGCTAGATACTGTCTGGAACCCGTAACTATTATTTGTATAGAGGCAATAAATATTCCACTATTCCTAATTGATTTTCAATACATTAAAATGATATGTATTTTAGGCTTACATGACTTTGGAAAAACATGTAGTCAAATTGCGAGTGTTCTGAGGAAAATGATTAAATAAAAAACAAAACCCCCAAATTGTTGCTGAAAAACAAATCAACACTTATTACGTTGAATTAGCTGGCCTGTAGGATGCTTGGAGAGAAGTCCAGAGGAAGCTGTCCTAAAATAAAAGTAGCCTTCTGAGAAGACAAACTCAGTCATTTGTCAGAACTCCGGAACAACTCATAAGCAAACATACACAAGACTGTTGGAAATTAGATGTCCCTCCTCTTTTTATACAATGCTTCCTTCAAAAGCGCAAAAGATGTTATATTACTTATATTGATATACACAGAAGGAAGTTACTCAATGAATAATGGAATTACTAAAACCTTTTTTTACTGAAACAAAAATACGCTGCATTGTATTAACCACAGTTACAAATACACTACTTGCAGACAAAGCCAATAAGGATTAGCAGTAAATTCAAGTTGTCTTGCATGCTTAAGTACTAGTTTCAAGAAGGATTAAACTATGCTTTTTGAAGCAACTTACCCGTGACATCCGTTTTAATGTCTGCAAGCTTAAAAAGAGGTGCAACTTGCTCATAATAAACATGAGTGGCTTCTCTTTTGTGGCTGCTTGGATTAACAAACACTTTTAAGGATTTTGGTCTGTTTTGAAAACCTAAAAAGACAACACATAAAACACTTAAGAACATATACAACCGAGCCATTTCTACAGTTTAACTGAATTTTTAATATTAGGAGCGTTATAAGTACTTAAGGAAGATATAAATTGTAGTCTAAAAAAAGTCTCAACCTCTTACTGGAAATGTGCTATTTGTCTTGAAGTTACAGTATGGTGCCCGAAGTTCTGATTACTTACACGGACAGAGTGACGAAAAAACCAAAATATATCCTTCCTGGAATTAAATGTAAAATATTTTCCAGCAGGCAAATGCCAGTAATACCCAATAGAACTGATTCTACAAATCCAATACTTGTCTTTTTCTGGAATTACAAATTATGCAATGCAAAGGAAATTTCCTCATCTTAAAAGAGGTCAGAAGAAATACTAAGAAATAAGAAACTTAGCAGTGTAATTCAAAAGTCTAGAGTTATTAATTTTTTTAATTATTTATATTTAATTCTTGCAAGTAATGTGAATTCTGAACAAGCGACATTAAGAAATATTGCCATAAAAGCAGTACTAAGTCTTGCACATTGATCCAATGACATTTCGTCTGTGAAAGTAATTTTACTATTTGGAAGACACTTTTTGGTTAAATAGTAATAATTCATACAAAATAGTAATAACAATACTTTTCAAGTGCTCTTTCTTAGAATTCCTGCAATTTTCCTGATTCAGTGAGATAGACTTTGACCTATAAAAGGCAAGAGCTGGCACGCAATGCTACTGTTTCTTCAATAGTTATTTAAAAACATGATTTTTATTTTTTTAATTTTGTATTCCGTTAATTCATTTATAAATTCTAGTTCTGCTTTTAGTATCAGATTATACTATAGGTTTTAGTCAAACAAAAACTGTATCTGTTGAGTATGATGCTTTCAACGTTCAAAAAAAAATTAGTAGCAGCCCACAGCTCCAAAAGGAACTAAGAGTATAAACACAGTTTCCCGTCTCATGTAACATATTACTTTTACAGTCACATCACCTTCGAAGCGTTGCCTGGGACTTTATGAAGCTGTTTCTCACTCTACCTCAACACTTGAAAAGTAACAATTCCTTTGGGAAATTATAGCAAAATATTATTGCAGACATTACTATAACCTAAAAGCACATATAAAACCTAGATTTCTAATCATTTTGACAGCAGTATTTTATACACAGTGCCATGTCACTGTACAGCAAATTAATCCTAATAAATTCTGAGTGTTTTTAGTAATAGTCCTTAGTACCTACATAATAATGTATATCTCCAGGAACTAGAGCCACATACGCACATGAAAAATGCATTTAAGGAGAAACATATTCCCATTTATGCCAGTCTAAAGAATTTGTCAAACAATTTCAACATTAAAAGCTTGTTGATGTTAGTCACTGGTTTTCAGTTTGAAGTCACTGGCCCACTTCATCTTTGAAAATGATTAAAAAAAGATAAAATGATAAAGCTCAAGTTCTCAAGCTCACTAGTAATATGAGCTGTGCTCCCCTCCCCCCACCCCACCCCCAATTACCAGAAGTAGGAAACAGAGACAGTTTAGGAGCAAGGTAAAAATATTTTTCTTTAATAATGTTATGCTGAGGAGCTCTCTGATGTACCACCTTCTGTACTTTCCACTAATAACTTCGAAAAAACTTAAGAGGAAAAAGTTTGATTTTTGAACAACTGTTTATAAGTGTTTTATAGATAACACTTCATATCCTGGACACGATCCTTAAATTTATTGTACACCAAGAGAACAAAGAAGTACTAGACAAAAAACAAAGAGCGCAATCATGAACCGGCATCAGTAACCAAGAGGCATTCCAAACAATCTTGACATGCCTTTTTTTTTTTCCCTCCTTCTCCTCCTCTCTCCTAGGAAGGAGATCTAAGCTCTTGGTACTCATCTTAAAGAAAAGTGTGATACATGCCAGGCAAGAAGAATGCTTACCTAGTAATTCTATTCAAAAAAATAGCCATTTTTCATGAGTCAGAAAATAGTAAGTTATCCTCTGGTAACTAATGTGCACGGATTTGCTACAATTCCAGAATACTTTACCATCTTTAGTGATTCTATGCAGTGTAAAGTATAACAAACACTAGCCACTGATGCTAGCCAGCTTTGAAACAAGCAGCAAAACATTCTTCAAAGACCCAGACAATGGGCAGAACGCACCACCACCACCAAGGCCCCAGACGACAGGGAACTGAGAGAGGGCACTGGATGTGCTGGAGGGCAAAGCTGCCATTCACAAAGACTTCAGTTAGCTGAGGTTTGACAAAAGCCTCATGAAATCAAACCAAGACAAAAGCAAAGTCCAGCAACTGGGTGAGACTAACCCCAACAGCACAGCTGGTGACTGATCAGCTGTGTAGTAGCTCTTCAGAGAGCATCCTGAAGGTCCCGATGGACAAGAGTAAGCAGTGTGCTATTGACACCCTGGTGGCTGCATTAACAAGAGCATAGCCAGCAGACTGAGGGAAGCGATTATGCCCTCGTATTCAGCATTTTTTGAGCCCAAATCTCAAATTCTGTATCTGCTTTGCAGTCCTCTATCACAAGACTGATAAAGTGGAGTAAGTCCAATGGAGCACTTCAAGAACGGTTAGGAGGCTGGACCAAACAACTTACAAACCCAGCTACCTCAGCCTCTCCTTGTATAGCCTTCAAGAGCGGATCTAATTGCTGTCCTTAAGTATCTAACATGGGTGTTACAGAAGACCAAGCCAGACTTCTTGCAAGCACACAACAAAAGGATAAAAAGATAACAGACAAATTGCAGCAAGGAAAATTCCAATTTGATCTAAGAAAAAAAAAATTATTCACAACAAGGGTGGTTAAGTCATGGATCACATTACCCAGAAAAGCCGTGGAATGTCCATCCTTAGATATTTTCAAAACTTATCTGGACAAGGCATTAGCAATCTGATCTCATGTTTTGAAGCTCACCTGCTCTGAGCAGGAGGCTGGAGAAGATCATCTCCAGAGACGCTTTTCAACCTGAATTATTACAGGATTCTATAGAAACAGAAACATAAGTACCGCAAGAATGTAATGTAATGTGCTTCCTAATCATAGCAGCTACAACACAAATAAGGAAGACTACCTAGAATCTAAGAGGTCCCAAAGACTTAAAAATATACAAATCATCATCATTAAGGCTATAAATTCAAAACACATCCTGGAAATCTGCCAAGGTAACACTGCAGTCTTTCAGAAGATGTAATTTTACATTTATATCGAGAAAAAAAAAAATCATTCCTGTGAATTGATAGTTTGCCTAAACTGCTAGGACAAATTGAATGCAAAACTACAACGATAAGGGCTCCTGATTTAATATATGAGTGATTTAGCTACATTCATAAGCGTGCGCTGATGTTTCTCATCTTCTCTACAAGAACTTGTGCTCAACTGGCCCTAAACGCTCAACTCCCTCCAACACCATGAGTGATAAAATCATAAAAACTGATTAGAAAGTCTGAGATTTGTAAGTAAAACATACTTTTAAACATATACATACATATATCTTACAATACATAAAGCAGAAAGAATAGGGGAGTAGAGAGTTGACAAAAGTAGGCAATACTGTGAAACTACTAAACGATCTATGTTACCTAGATTGCGCAAGTTACAATTAGTTTTCCGTTACTACAAAACGACCATTAGCTGGACGTTGAAGAGAAAAAAGTAAACACCAATACCTCATTTAAAATTTAACACACACAATTTAAAATTATTTTTGAGGCCCAAGTTTTAAAAGAACACAAGCAGGCAAAGAAATACACACTCTTCAATTAGGAGAAAGAAATCCTAGATTTTTGAGGAAATTTAATTGGATTTTTCTGTTTTAACAGGAATTTGTCCAAGAAAATTCAAAAATAGTAATTGATTATATATATTAAACATATATAATATATATTATTATCAAAAAATAAATTGGAATACATAAATCCTAGTGAGATTTTTCAAGAACCAAATAAATTCACAGGCTAAAAGCATTACAATAGTCTCTTTATGACTTGACTATTTCTGTAAACATTGCATTTCAAGTTCTTTTTAAAGAAGGAATCATTATTTATAGAAACAGATATCACAAACAAGGCATTCACTTAATATATTAGAGAGCAGAAATATGGTGCACTACTGATGTAGTTTTGTTTGTGCCAGACATGAATGATGACAAAAAAAATTATTTACCATTCCCAGTGTGCCCTGGATGTGTTACAGCACACCAGACAACTAGATTTAATGAAAGAATCTACAAGAACAAAGATGAATTTTTTGCACAATCATACTGAAATATCTTTAAAGTTTTTTAAACTAATAATGTTTTATCTATTTTTTTTTAAAGTAACCTATCTATATGAATGAAGCAATCTTCTTTACTACAGCCTGTAACTGATTTCAGTCTGTCAGCCGTTTGGTGTTCTCATATCTCGCGTTCTGTCATTGTTTTCTGTAGCTGCTCCGCTCGAAATGAGCCAGCAGTCTAAAGCAGGAAGGCCAACTGTTCCTCTAGTACTAACAAATGTGCTAATATGCACTAGCTTAAACTTGATCTATCAAGTGAATCAGTGAACCATGAAGGGTGGTGGGTCGATCAGGGTGTTCTGAAAACAAAGGCTCATAGGGCAGCAGAGACGCTATGCTCAGACATACATCTGTGCTGTTTTCAGCTCTTAGTTCTATGGAAATGGGTTTATGTTACAAAAGTTAACAGTCTGGAATCATGTCATTATTACATACGTTTCTAAATATTTTATATAACAATAAGAATATTATACCTCAGGAAAGCTAATAACATGAAACAGATTTGTTAGTGTAACTATGGAGACATCACTGTTAATATTAACTAACAAAAGTTAATGTTTAACATTAATGGCTTTAATTAAAACATCACGCGTGAAGTTTGAGACATTCATATCAAATCCCACTATGAGACAAGGTACTACAGAAGAGCACATAAAATGCCCATAATGAATTTTCAGCTACTTTATCATTTATTCTCAACTGCATTTATTGTCCTTGTTAATTTATACACACAGTTTTTAAAGTAAAATACTTTGAAATCAAATGTTACAAGTATAAGCCCTACTACAGCTAAATTTTTTCAAATAAGAAAATAGGAAAGCACTGCTGATTATCTGTTTTCTCTTATTTCCAAATCTGCGCTAACCCTATAAGCAGCCCCGGGCACTTGCACGCATAGAGGATTCCAAATCAAACAGTGAATCTCACTTACGTTCATTACTGCACACACCCATAAGTGCAATACATAAGAGGTAACATACACATGGAAATCATGGAGCCAGGCACACCATAGGTCTGACGAGCTCAACAGCATACTAGAAACTGTTTAAGCTGCCGTTTAGGGCTTTCAAGCCACCAGTCCAGAACCTCGGCTCCATAGGCACACGTTTTAAGGTGGCAATGGTTATTTTAAATCAGTTTAACATGCACCATACAAAGGATTGTAATTCTTCTGAACACCGCATCATTGAGCGAGTTCTTAACACCTTGCAGGCATACAGTTGAACAAAAGCAAAATTATGCATAAAATAAGATTTGATTTAAAACTAGGAGGATAGCAGCACATGTGTCACACTACCATAAAAAAGTGTGAGAACTGCCACTGTAAGATAATTCTAACCAGCCATAGCTAGGTGCCCACTTATATGACGACATACTCCATAAGAGTAGACTTTAAACTGAAGTTCTCTGAACACAAATTCAAGGCAATAAAGGAGACCCCTTATAAAAGGGGTAAGGATGAACAGCAAAAGGCATAGAAGAAACATTCCTGTCAGACACGCAAAACATAGTAAGAGGGAAATTGTGTATACAGTACTTCAAGAGACAGCTGAAGTCCTCACTGGAACAAATCTCCAAACGCAACTCTAGATCATATATCCCTGATGAACTTGCTATTGTTCATTAAGGTATAAGCATAAAAAACTAAAATCTAGTCAAAGAGAGCAAGACAAACAGATAGATACTATATTTATTTTCCATTGCTGGAGACGCACCTTTTAGTAATACTTAGCTATTATGGCAAATAAAAGTCCATGTTTATCAATAGCCATAGCCAAACATGCATACACACTACTTTGGGAAGTCACCTGCTTTTTATTTTTTCCATCCTCGGAGTCTAAGAACCTTCAGCTAAAATGCAGAAGTTAATCAGAAAACTCACCTACTTATCAGATGCAATACAAAAAAAAAAAGGTACACTTAAAATTCGAGTATTTTAGAAAGATCAAATTTTAACTTTCTATTGCAGAGCATAAGTAAACTGAAATGGAGCCAATTTGTGAGTTCATCCATGAAGATGTGACCAGCGCTATTCTGAAAACAAGGTGTGAGAAAAAACTATAAGAATTCATCATTGTTTCAAGCAGAGATACATCCAGGTACCTACTATGACTTTAATTACTGAAGAATCAACAGAACTCATTTGCATTTTCAACTTCTAGTCCACTCTTGCATCCTACTGGGACCTTCCTGACAAGGTTTGAATCATTTTTAAGTCAGAAGAATACTTTTTGTGAATTATATTGTTACTATACTATGGATGTTTGAATTGCTGATGTGTCTCTACCATACTGACTGTGGAAATGCTGCTGAAGATTTGCTGATAGAATGGCAGTTTAAATACCTGTTCAGGCTTCAAAAATGTAACAGTGTACAAAACTACTTTCTATTGTAATTACAGAACTTTTAAAAATGTATTTTACTAAATAATACGGTAGGGAGGGTCATGGGGGGG